TTTTATATCTCTATACTATTTATATATTTCTATAGCAAATGATTCCCCAGATATAATAGTTATATCTTTGTAATACAGAAAAGAGATTATACACTATTGAAGCTTGTTTAGATACTTCTAATATCAAAATCAACTATAATATTATCATATAATAATCAAAGGAATAGACCTCTCCGATTTCAACCTAAACAACTAATTCAGTAGTAACTATATAATTCTCCTTATTCCAACCAAAACCAGATATCTTCTTTATAAACTATTTAACTTCTTTAAAATCAATTTTTATATATCCCTATTTGGATTCGGCAACTTTATTGCATTTCTTATTAGAATCTGCGAAGAATTGAATAATAGTAATCCAAACAAAAGCTTTAAAACTATTATCAAAGATATTGCCATCCAATTTAGCAGCTTTGAATTGAGCTATAAAAAATCGCGATCTCCTCAGAGATCCATTTTGTATTAAGAGTATAAAAAGCTCTAATAAAGATAAGCATTGTTTCGATAATAGATTTGAATAATATAGTTACAGAATAGTTATTGATATTGTAATATAGATTTATAATTCAATCAGAAAGGATCTATAAATGATTATATAATATATATATAAAATGTTATGCGAGCCAAATAAAGGCTTGTATTTTAAAAAATGTGGTATTTTTAAAAATGGGAACCTATATACACACTCCATTTTTGATAAATGCGAAAACTCACACTACCGAGCCAAACAAGGGCTAATACATAATAAACAATACACAATACGAAAAACAAATGCACATTCCAATAATTGCTATTTCGCTAGAAGCAATTTCGAGCTAGATATCTCCATACCCACCCAATAATTTATATCACACACATATACTCGTACATAAACATTCTTCCCCCTCCCGGACCCCTCCCTCTGAAGAAAACGTAAAGCACAACTCATTAGACATTCACTACTGAGTAGCAAGAAATACCTTTTTTGATACCTGCACGAGTAGAGCTACCTACCGTCTTATTTCAGCTAACTGAGCCTCTAAAATTATCTTTTTATTCATATATACCAACAAGCACACTCACCCCATCAACATTAACATTTAACATCAAGTTTGAATTAAGATAAGTCACGCCCCAAACTCAATAAAAATAACAAATACAGTAAGGAGCTTTTGGGCTAGGAGGATGTATACATGTGTCACCAAGTGAAATAAATATATAGTAGAAGTGAAGTTTGAGTATCTATTACTCGAGTAGATTAGGTTTTTGATTTGATTTGCTGAGGGATATTAGTAGTGATACTATGTAAAAACTCCAAAGAATGTTGTATACTCGAGTATACTCGAGTTGACATTGGAAATACTAGTACCGGCAGTATATATCAACCTATTATACTGACAGACACAGAACGGAATTAAAATCACGAGTGATTTATACTTGTACTTGGCTTGACTCGAGTAGGATGAATAATCTTTCAGACACATAAGTGCAATCACGAGAAAGAAGGATAATAAGAAGTAGGATATGCAATAGCATGCAAAAATATTACTGTACGTATCGGCCAACTAAAGTCTCAAAATCCTAAAACATCTAAAGATGGTATTGGTATCGTGCAGATGCAAAACTCGACGATCGACTGACTGAGTGATTCTCCCTATGCAAAATTCTCCCTCCCAGCATCCATTAACCCCATTCACCCACTTCGATATCCCCCAACCAAAAGTATCAATACCAAGAACCAAAATAAAAAAAGAACTGCAAGAATACCTATCGCCCATCCTCAGATCTTAAGAAGTCATCAAGCCAGTCAATCCATATAATGAATTCCGCAAACCCCACCCCCATAAAATAAACCCACCACCTAAGCAAGTTCCTTACTCAAATGCCCACCCGCATCATGAGCCGTACTCACACCCCTCGTATCCAACTCCTGCTCCACCCACTCCTCATCCTCAAACCTATACAACTGCGGTTCTGGCTCCCCCTTTCTCCTCAAAAGATATTTCCTCGCCCACCACGGTAACTGTTGCTTAATCTGAAACTTGGCATGAGTTCTGGTCGGAACCGCAAATACATAATCTAATTCCTCGAGTGTTCTTTGTTTAGTTTCTGGCAGGAAAAAGAAAATAAGGACGAAAGCGACAAGATTGAGACCTGCGTAGAAGCCAAATACACCCTGAGGTTTCATCGCGGATAACATGCGAGGGAGGGTGAGAGAGAGGACCGAGGCCCAGAAATTATTTGTGGCGACGGCCCAGGACATGCCGATTTCACGATGGATGAGGGGGAAGACTTCTGCGGAGTAGGTGAAGGGGACGGGTCCTTCGCCCGGGGAATAAGCTATATCGAATAGGTAGATGAAAAATGCTACCATGCCGATATGTGCGTTGGAGGAGGTAGGAATAAAGTAGCATAGACCGGCGCCGAGGAGTGTCCAAAACATTTGGGGAAATGTGAAGAGCAGAAGGGTTCGTCGTCCAAATGTATCGATGGTCCAGACAGCGGGCCAGGCGAAGATGAAATTTATGAGACCGAAACCGAAAGAGGCGAGGAGAGCACCAACGTTGGTTGCACCTGCATTTTTGAAAATTGTAGAGGAGTAGAATGCAATGATGTTGACTAATCAGTGGTAAACGTTAGCGAGCTGCCAAACGAGATCGAGGCAAGGGGTTGCAAAAAGAATTAGGAGAGAACAAAGACTTACTTCCACACATCTGTTGAGCAATCATAACAATACCCGAAGCCTGAGTAGCACGTCTCAATCTCGGCACCGTAAACAACTCAATAAACCTCGTAAACATATTACCATTCTTCGCCAAACCAGACTCTTCCAACAAACGATCCTCATAATCCAACTGCGCCTGAATAGAATACAAATCCCTCGCGGCCTGCAGCGGCGAATTTCTCAATCGCAATAAAGATCTGTATGCTTTCGCAACCCGTCCTTTCTTCAACAACCAACGAGGAGATTCCGGACAAAAATATATGCCAATAACCAGAGGAATCGCAGGAACAAGCGCAGAACCAAATTGCAATCGCCAAGCCAGTGCTCCTGAATGTACAAAGACTAGATTGGCACATGTGCCGAGGAAGATACCAAAGGCGGTCCAGACTTGCCAGGACATGACGAGACCACCGCGAATACTGGTGGGGGAATTTTCGGCGGAGAAGACGGGTACCGTCACTTCTTTGAGTCCCATGCCGACTCCGAGGAGTACACGACATGCCATTAGTTGTCCGTAGGTTTGAGAACATCCCATGCCGATGGGAGCGAGTAGAGAGAAGACTGCAGCGACGAAGATGGTACCGCGACGGCCGATGTAGTGGTTTACGGGGTCGGAAATCCATGCGGTGCTGTTAAAGTGACTTATTAGTTTGGTTTGAGGAGAGGAGGATGAAGAAGGGTGAAGAAGGTTCATAGACAAGCACGGTATATGACAAGCTGCGAAGTTGCAGATAATCATATCGCAGTACTTCATGGGATGAGAAGCAATATTTTAAGAAAGAAATACTCACAAGAGACAGATGGCCATATAAGGCATTGCATTAATAGCGCCAATGATCCAAGCATTCTTATCACAAGTACCTTGAGCTTCGCAAACAGGACCTGTATCCGGAATACCTAGAGCATCTCCAAATGTAAGATTTGCACCATTAGCACCTACGGGATTTGTTAGTCTCTCAAGAACATGAAGGCATGATATAAGATGAGTTACCCGTTTGATCCCACTATGCGACGAAGAAGTCAGTATTGTTCCATCCCAGACAGAGCGAAACCACAAGGAAGTTCAATTTAGGATAACTTACACCTTGAATAGCCGCAGCAATAGAGTTCAAAATAATAGTCATGTAAAGGACCTTGGGATGTTTCCATCGATGAGTAATTTCCTCGGTCAAAACTCTTCGATCCTCATCATCAAGTTCAACTATCTTATCCGCATGATGAGGACTTTGAGCAACAAGAGCACCTTTGGTAAGAATTGGAAGAATCTCAGAGATACCATGTTTGGTCGCGAAAGCTTCTACGTCCTGAAGAAGTTGGTGTCTTGGGATACCGACGAGGGGATTGCGGATTCTGGGATGAATGTTAGAAGGGAGGAAAGGGAAAATTAACGAAGATGAACGTACTCTCCAGTGGGGTTCGTAGATAGTTGAGTAAGATCAATTTTTCCTTTACCGTGAGTATCTTTATCTTCAATTTCTTGACCATGATCTTTCTCGTAGGCAGGAGCTACATTGGGAGCATTGGTAGGGATGTTCGTCGCACTGCCATCGGTTTTGTCAGTAAAATATAGAAATACTTGGGGGCACGAGTATTTACTCATTATCATGCGTATGATGAGTACTCGACTCATCAGCCATTTTAAGATTTGATGTTGTGTTTTGTTACTTCAAAACAATATGTGTCTTGAAGAAGATCGGTATGTTTATGTTAGATTGTGGTTGTGTTTAGAATCTCCAAGTTGAGTGATTTATTTTCTAGAAAAGATCGTACCACCAAGTGACCAACCATTCACTTGTTATGAATTCGCGAAAGAAGATTGCCAGTGAATCAGACGGGAACACTACATTTTAAAGAAACCATACAGGCAGACAACGTGCATAATCATGCATACAAGACTATACAGATGATTCACAAATTCCCAGTGAGAACATCGGTGATGGCCGCACCCTTACGCCTCAAATTGACAGAAATCGTATATGAGCTATTCACAACTCACATACATAAAAACCTCGACCAAAGAGCTACCCCGCATCCCCATCCCTGGAGCTGACCGAGTGCCCAGAAATCCCCAGTATGCATTGTATTACCCCAGAATCCGAGCACCCTAGCCCGGACAAGACTTTACACATTGGTGAATGCAGGGTGACTCGTTGTGTAGCGTGAATAACTTCGTGTGATTTGTCGATGGGCTTCCACCAGTGAATATCGTGATCGTGTGTCACCGGACTCTTGATGGTCGTGTAAACAAGTTTGGTTACAGGGCCAAGTTTCATACATTACGGTGGCTTGCGAGAAATTCACAACGGCGAGTGAAAATGGCTTGGGAACGGCTGCCACCAACAACTCCAAGGACGATGGATCCATGATCAACAGATATGCGTATTGTAGTCATAAAAAAAAAGCTGGGTTCGTTGATAAAAGGAGCTTATGGTTGTACAAGAGGTTGTCCGATTCATTTGCGGGTGCGAGTAAGCAAGACAAATAACTGATCACAAGGGCGGCATCATTTCCGTATGACATTAATCGAACGATATGTAAGGAATAAGGCAGATTGCGTAAGAAGGGATGGTGAAAAAGTAAAACATTGATTCAAATTCATCTGCAACATCTGCAAGGCACCAGTTGAACTTTCCGAAAACTTGAGATATAGAGCTTTTGTCCATAATTGATCTCGCAATCAAAGCTTCAATCAGAGACCCCCCGATGAGTTAAAGCTTGGCACGAGTTTCGTAGAATATAAATCGTTCAGGATGTTTGTGCCTGGACCGTTGATGAATGGCTCAAACGTTTGCCCAGTCCGTCTTCCAATCCCTAGTCAATCCCACGGTAGTAGCAGACCGTTCGTGCTACACCCACAGAGTAGTTTGAAAGATTAGCGTGTCTTTTATCCATCATCTCATTTAAAGATCGCGGCGAATACCAGAATAAGGTGACGCTTATTCCAAGTCGACCCCAAAAGATCCATTCAACATAACAACGCCCCGTTAATAACGATTCTCTAGACGAGAGGATGTTCCTACTATTTCTATCAAAGTGCATCGCTGGGAAAACGTTAAAACGTATTTACCATATTTGACTCAAATATTCATACAGCTCAACCTAAAGTAGTTTCTCCATCCGGCCCTCCGTATCGACAACTCACTCCAAACCGAGTTGTTTCTAGAGCATCTGCTTCCATGTAGTTAGCCTCTCTCACCATAAACACAGAAAGTGGTATACTTATCCCCTACCCGGAGGGGTTGCCTCAAGACTTTGGGCGGAAGCATGAGACAACCCAGGACTACCAACCAATTGGCCTGTCCTCAATCCAAATTCCACATGCCCTAATGTCCATCAACCACCAGATGTGCCCCCATCATGCACAACTAAAAAGAGATTGAGCCAGACCCATCAAAATATCCAACAAAATATTCAATGCTACCCATGACAGACAAGCACTAAGCTTTGACACCAACACGAGATGGGTCCCGTCATGGACACTAAAGTACTTTTCTTCTTCATGATGGGTGATCTGAAACTATCCCGGTTTAGTGTAATAACTTCAGGACCATCTTATCATCACATTCCATCATTCGCACCCCACAAACAAACCAGTCCAGGACCACACCTACTTCAACCCATATAAAAATTGAAACTCTTCATGAAGTGAACGTCTCGAAATCGAAATCATCTTAGCGGCGTGCGACATAAACGATCAGATACCTCAGCGTAATTCGAAAAACCTCTCTCTGTTTGAAAAGTATAGTCCACGGAGATAAGTTTTTGATTCCTCTGCAACAGCAGGGCACAAACGAACAAAAGACATCAACAAAAGCCGTGATCATCTCTAACAATTACGAAAGAGGAAAGTGAACAAACATCCGAAAATGCTGTCCCAAAATGCCGGCGTCTTCCATCACTCTAAGGTAAGGTATAGAGGAGAAAGTTAATGCGGAAGATCGTGGTCACATTCAGCGAATGACAAAGCCTATGGTTGATACCGCGGCAACGGTCTTGAGAAATGACTGCGTACATTGGAAGTACGAAGCATTGAAACGAGAAAGGTTGGAGACAAGATTCACCTCCAGAAAGGAAGTAGAATACAATGGAAACAAGGTAGCTTCACCATTATAGAACCACATTGACCCATCTCTCTTGATGTTCATAGCGAAAATATCGAGGAGCTTAGACTTTCCGGAGCATGGTAATACGATTTTCTCCAAATGATAAACATTTGAAGGACAATTTTTCTGGCAATGTTTCATTTCCAAGACCACCCACCTGAGTGAGTTTTTTTTGGTCAAAAAAGTAGAGACATGCAATCCAAACAGTCTGTTTGTAATCTTCGATAAATATTGTGCTCAGTCCTTGCCCCATGGATATCCTCATCATGTAATCTTCGAGAGTGTAGAGAGAAAACGTATTGGTTCATAATAGCTTATATGAAGGCCCGCATGATAACTTCTCCAAGGAAGAATCAGTTCCATCTCAAATTGGCTCTCCTTTCCCTATTTCAACTTGCATTATCATCGAAGACAACCATGTTGATCGAAAAAGCGTCCAGCCGATAACCCTGACGAGCGTCCCTGTAGCGGGATCTTACTAGAATAGCTCATAGCAGAAATCGGTTTTATCGTCTCTCGACATCTGGACTATCCATCCAACTTTTCGACCTTTTGTACATTCCTCCGTCGCGTAACCTTTCGGCTTCACAAGATTGGTCCGAGACAAAATGTCTATTCGGAAGGATGAATCGAAGCCGCAAAGCTTCAAACCGGCGGTTTACTTAGGGTTAAGTTCTGATGCGTATGATTCCTTTCGGAATATCGAACCAGAGTATGTGGGTAGACGATATACTTGGTTTGTAGGAGGAGAGAGGTTTTTCGAGATCATCGCGTTCAATCGAGGTACCTGGTATCGTAAATGTAAGCCCGTTGCTATATGATATACGAATAGGATTCGAAGCTCTTCGAGTAGCAATCAAATGGGATGATGTAGATAGTGAGTACTGGAGGTTATTGTTAGCAAAGATTTGCAAATGACAATACAAGAGGTGATGATGTTTTGTTATGATGGATGATAGGGTTACAAAAGAGATAAGAGGTCCGCGTTCGCGTAAGGCTGAAATTTCGACGCGACACGCTAGTTGACAAGCAGCCTAACACAACATGATTTAAGCCTAGCCTTAGGCCTAAAATATAAGCCCAACAGTTAACTCCTATTTAGTCAAACAATATCTCTCTTTTAAGACATCGCTTTCATAGACAACATTCAATTCAATTCATGCCCTTCGTATTTGCTTTGTCTACCAGTGCAAACCGGTCATAAATCATAAAACTTCACCCAAAAGCTTGGCGTGAGTGATGCATGAGTTAGCCTGAAAGTTTTCAGCTCAATCTTATGGCTCCGCAATCTCACCCAATCTTAGAGTACGAAGGCTTTCAAAGGATTTGTATAACGAGACATCAGACATCAGATCTTACTGAATGTTATTCAGGAGTCGCCACATATATACGAATAAGCAATTTCTATTTCAATATGAGTTGCACAAGAATCTTCTGTGCGTATAGGGGGTGCTCGCCCCTCGCTTGAGAGGCTCAAGTTCTTAACTACTACTTCCCTAAGTACCGAGTACATGGTTCAGACTTCACAGGATTATCTACCGGTATCTCTCGACGAACATCCCATACATACCATTGATGCTAAAATACAGCATCTATTATACGATATATAGTGGGTATCCTTCGAAGTCTAATCTAACCTTGTCATGTACAGTTTGCAAATACACATACCATCGGACGTCACCCATCTGCTTTATGTTGCTACGTTGAAAAACGTGTTCCCCGGCTCTAGATGTTCTCCGGATTCCCCAAACTATCCCATTGAGGCTACTTTGAAGTCTCTACGAATGACTTGCTGAACAAATGGAGAGATGAAGATATCTTGAAACCGCCACTATTCAGGGTTTATTAATCCCACGAAGAATTCTCACAGTAAGCTTAATCAAGCTCACTCCAAATTGTCCAATCCCAGAGTTATTCATCTCAAGTGGAGTGAGTTTTCTCCAAGAATAGCCTTATTGTGGCTGTGCATGTGTTACCATCAATCATCATAGAGAAGTTCCAGGATCTGCCGCTTGTCGATCATGTTTACGGGCACATACGCGTTCAGTTTATTCGCTTACCAGTTCATATGTCAAGATGATATCAAGGTAAGGTAAGATGGAGACTGAATGTAGATCATCTCGAACATTTTCTTTTATTCAATTGCCCTATTTGTTTCTTAATACTTTCTCCTGTTGCTCCTATTTCTTCTTTTTTGATATGAATTCCGTATCCACATTCCTTTGCATATATATACACAAAATTCTCCGAGACCAAGATCAATACCCAGCCTTGAGTAACACATCAATCGTCAAGATGTTGTTCAACCCCCCTAGAAATTCACCTCGTCTTATGTTTGCTGTTCTCCTTACTGTTTTATCTTTATGCTTTCTATTCCAATGGCAACAAGATTCCGAAAATTCTAAATCATGGAAACCTTTACCAAATTTCAGTGAAGTCAAAGACCCAAAAGCGAGGTTCCTATCTTTTCTCCCACGTCTACTAGAACACTCGCCGTCAAATGAAAGTTTAGAACTACCAGAAGGATATTTATTGATTCGAATCGAAGAGATTAACGAAGAATCCGAACGAATCGACCATCTGAAATTGAGTGATGAAGATTTCAACATGTCCTCCACCGCACATTCCAAAGTCCTCGAGATACTACCAGAATACGATGATCTCATCACATACAATGAGAACTCCCGAGGAATCATCACCGTAGGAGGAGGTCCATACACCCCCGCTCTCCTAGTATCGATCCGCATGCTCCGCCGCACCAACTGCACCCTCCCAATCGAAGTATTCATCCCCACCCCCACCGACTACGACCCTTATACCTGCAACACCATACTACCCTCCCTCAACGCGCAATGCATCATGCTCCCCACCTTCGAAAACACCACCATCACCATCGCACGCTACCAATACAAATCCGTAGCCCTCCTCTTCACCACCTTCGAACACACCCTCTTCCTCGACGCTGACAATTTCCCCCTCGTAAACCCCACCCCCTGGTTTGATTCCGCCCCCTACTCCCTCACCGGCATGATCACCTGGCCCGATTTTTGGGCCAACACCGCTAGTCCCCTCTACTATCTCCTCTCCAACCAATCAATCCCAGCTCTGCAAACACAACATGCCTCCACAGAAGCAGGCGCAATCCTCATCTCGCGCAGCACGCATCATCGAACGCTGCTCTTAGCTTTCTACTATAACCTCTTTGGACCAGGCTTCTACTACGAGTTACTGGCGCAAAATGGCATCGGAGGTGAAGGCGATAAGGAAACGTGGGTAGCGGCTGCGCAGGCGCTAGGTGCGTCGTATTATCAGGTGAGGGAGAGGAATCATGCGTTGATAAGTGGAGAGGCTGGAGAGGAGGACTTGGATCGGGTGCTTAGTATGGTGCAGTATGATTTTGTGGGGGATTGGGAGGCGAATTCTATTGTTGCTGATCTCACCCCCGATTCCAATCCTAATCCTACTCCCAATCCTGATCCCCAATCAAATACAAACACCAATACCGAACTCAAACAAAAAGAAACACAAAACGAACTAGAAATACAAACCCCCAAACCCCCAACATCCAGAAATACCCCCGGAGCACAAATCGTCTTCCTGCACTGCAACCGCGTGAAGATGAATCCGGCAGAGGTCCTGGATAGACTGGACGATTTCCAGGAGAGAGGGAGGATGTGGGGGAGTAGGGAAAGTACGGTAAGGAGGTTTGGGAGGGATGTGGAGAAGGAGGTTTGGGGGGAGGTGTTGGAGGTTGCTTGTGGGTATGGGGAGGGGAGTGGGGATGAAGGGGGTGAGGGGAATGAGGGGTTGAGGGTGAGGGATGAGGGTGGGGATGAGAATGAGAATGGGGAAGGAGAGGGGAATGGAAATGAAAATGAGAATGAGAATGAGGGTGAAGATAGAGATGAAAACGAAAACAAAAACAAAGAAAGCGAAAGGCAAGGAGGGGATGAAAATCAAAATCAAAATCCAGACAAAAACACAAACACAAATAAAACAAAAAAAGAAATATGTACAGAACTGCGAAGATTCTGGTGGGGCATACTGATGCAAGAGGAGCTAGAAGATAGGATTCGAATTGCGGGGGAGAGGGATGTGGAGAGGGATGCAGATATGAAAAGGGTGAAAGAAAAGGAAAAGGAAAAGGGAAAGGGGGGATGGATATCGAGGTTGGGGCATGAGGATGGGGTTAAGAGGTCGGGGTAGGGATGGGATGGGATGGGATGGGCTGGATAGGAGTTATTGGCGATACTAGCTTTTAAATCTCACGAGACAAGACAAGGCAAAACAAAACAAGGCGTTTAGGTTGACCAGGTAAAAATTATCATGGGTAGGATAGGATGGGATAGGATAGGATGTGATGGGATACATATATACAGAGACATATACACATATATATACACAGTATTCATAGCATCTCAATCATAGAGTAGAATTTCTTTTCTTTTATCATAAACAACCAGATCAACTAAAGACCAACTAACTCGCATAATAGCCCAGCGAACGCGAACGCTAACAAAAACAAAGAAATTAATCGAGGTGACCACTCATCCAATCCATCCATCCATCCAGTTTAGAAACCCCTGCCCTGGATCTTGAACATGCGCAAACACCACTTTTGTGAAAAAGAAAAGAAGTTCCCAACTTCTTGATATTGCTGAGTTGCATTGAGGTGACCACTCATCCAGAAACCCATTTTTTGCACCACATTTTGCACCCAATCCCTCAAATCAAAATTGAAACCGCCAATGTTGAGTTTGCCACTCATCGATATCATATCGTATCTCGGAACCTAACCTCACCGCCTTTTTGGAGAAAGATCCCAGAATCTGAATGAATATGCACCATGCACTAACCATCCATCTATCCATCTATCTATCAAGAAACCTCAAGAAAACTCCTCAAATAGTATAGTGACGAACCCCAATACTCGTAGAAAGAAGAAGTATTGCCCAATGTATTGCCCAATGTGTGTGTGTACTCGCTCGTATAAACGAGAACGAAATGAGTTTGTCACTCACTCATTCATTGAATTTGGACACAAGCCAAATAAAAGCACTCTCTGAACAAAGTGACCAAAGTGAACAGAGTATGCCCCAAAAATGCAATGCAATGCAATGCTCATTTATAGAAAGAAAAGCCCTCGGAATATTTTGATATTGCCCACAATGTACGAGTACGATGATGATGATCTCTCATCGTATTTTATCGTTCATATAATGCAACGCAACGCAATGCAATGCAACGAAATGCAAAACCCATGATTACAGATAGACAGAAACAGAATCATTCCGTCTATGCAAATGCGAATGTAAATGCAAAATACCATGGTCGGTGGCATATATGAAATCACTCATGCCGCTCAGTGTATGTATTTATGTGGCCAGTGTATGTCGCTCCCATAATGTACAGAATGTACAGATCATCCCTTATGAGGGAGGCAAAGTCGAAAAGAAAAACCCGCGAGGATGAAAAACGAATCCAAAGTCGAAAAATCTAAGCTCCTGTTCTCGCTTTCTTCTTCGCCGGCTTCTCCTCTTCATCGTCATTGTCATCGACATCGTTGTCGTCCGCACCGTCACGTTCGACACTTGAAAGTCTTTTTCTATGACGGCTATCCTGAGCACAAAGTTAGTATCATGTATCATATATCACATACACGAATCTGCCAGATACATAAGAGTTCACACCACTGGGTGGCTATTAAAAGAGTAAAGAGTAAAGTTGAAATTTGACAAACCTTTAGCATCCCGATTAACTCGTCCTCATCCAAAGTCGACGTGTTTAACTTCTGAATTTGTTCCAGTTTCTTCGGTTCAGTGTCGCTGCCTAACAGAACATAATCTGTATTCTTGGTGATGATTTTGTTGACTCTGCCACCGTATTGTTTGATTAAATCTTCGGCGGATTGGCGACCTAGTATTGGTGGAACACCACTAATAACAAACGTCTTGCCGGCGAGAACGTTACCCTTTCCGGCGAGCAAGGTCTTGACGGTGTCGGGGGGGTCGGTGCCAGGCTGATTTTCATTGTTGGCAGCATTGGTGGCGCGTTCGGCTGCTAATTTGGTGTTCTTGGTAGCAGTTTTGGCCCTGGTGCTTGGCTTTCTGGAAGGTGCAGCTTCGGCTTCCTGGTTCTGGTCACCATCATCTGCGGCGTCATCTTTCTTTGCCAACGGTTTTGCTCTGCTGACCCTGGCAGATACTCCCTTGGGAACTGCAATCGGCTTTTCGAATCCATCGTCCTCATTTTCAGCCTTTTGAATATCGACCTTCTGATTTGAAGCCTTTGATCTGCTAGGTCCCGCAGATGATTTTTTGGGAACTTCATCATCATCATCATCATCATCGTTAGCATCTTCGACGATAGCCTTCTTCCCCTTTGCTCTGCTGGGCCTGGTAGATGCTCTCTTGGGAGGTTCATCGTCACCATCATTGGCATCCTCGACGGTAGCCTTCTTTCCCAGCGTTTTTCCTCTGCTGGATCGAGTAGATGCTCTCGTGGGAGGTTCAATCGGCTTTTCGGAGTCATCGTCCTCATTTTCAGCGTCTTGATTGTCGGCCTTCTTGTTTGAAGCCTTTGCTCTACTCGGTCTCGCAGATGTTCCTCTGGTAACTGGCTTTTCCTTGACGTCCTTAGCTTTGACCTTCTTAGCTGGAGCTCTGCTGGGCCTCGTAGATGTAGTTTGGAGGGCTTCGACAGGATTTTCCTGATCATCCTCGTCATCCTCGTCCTCCTCAACTTCAATCTTCTTAGCTGAGGTTTTGGCTCTGCTTACTCTAGCAGATGCCAAGCTTTGAGGGGGCGCGATCGGACCTTCAGCTTCCTCGTCATTTTGCCTTTCACCTTCACCGCTTTCATTATCGTCTTCGACTTCCTCTTCCTCCTCATCTCCGACTTCTTCTTCCTCTTCCTCTTCCTCTTCCTCTTCCTCTTCCTCTTCCTCTTCCTCTTCCTCTTCTGTTTCTTCATCAATTTCCCCATCCTCATCGTCGATATCAATATCCGAATCAATTTGAGTAAACCTGGTTGAAGTCGTCTTTGCTTTGCTTACTCTTGTGGATACGGTTATTGTAGTCTCAACTGGCTCTTCATCACCATCGCCATCGTCATCGACGTCGGTGTCGGTGTCAGTTTCAACTTTTTGGCTCGTGACTTTTCCTCTGCGGGCTCTGGTAGTTGTCTTCTTCGTCAAAATTTGAACTGACTCTCCGATTTCGTCACCCTCAACTTCCACAGGAGCCTTCTTTCTTGGACGTCTGTTCTTCTTCTTCCGCGGCACAACGGGATCAACATCAAGTAGTTCTTCATTTTGCTTATCGGCCCAATGAACTGGGGGGCGTTCCCAGGTCCATGGTTTGGGCGCAGGTAGTTTATGAAAGAAGCCTTCATCATGAATTTTGCGCGCGGCCTTGACAGCCTTTTCTTGAAGATGTGGAACGATCGTCACGTTTCCGCAGTGCAAATGAAAGGTATGAATGCTCAAATATGCAGGGTATACTCTTCGGAGTTCTCCACAGCGTTGCTTTGCCGAAGCAAGTGTTGCGTGGGCACTATCGCAAAAAAAGTCCGGTCGACCAATGGTAACATAAAAGACAAGAGATGTCTCATCTGCAGAACCAAGCCAAGTTTCACCATAGATTGGGATTACTTCTGTCGCCGATTCCAGCAATTCATCTGTTTGAGTTGCCTGCTGCTTTATTGATCTATCACCAAGTTCAAATGTCTGTTGCAATGTCGACTCATCTGTTTTTCTATAGGTGCTTCTAACTGCATCATCTAATTCTCGAGTCGCCACTTGCTCTGCGGCCAAGTCCTCTGCTTTTTGGGCTGCTTGCTGCTCCTCCAACGATCCCTTCTTACCAATATCAACGCGTGTGTTCCAATAGTCGCTATGTAGCTGTTTATTGTAGTTGTTGATGGGGAGCTCAGATTCTATCCGCTCTGCCTCATCCAGCAGCTTTTGCTCTGCTCTAGCGTCGATCATTTTGTCTGATGAGATGATGACTTTATAGAAACGCAACAAACTTTTTTAATTGGTAAAGACCGAGGGGAGGGAGAGGGGGGAATTGGTAAGAACGATCGATGTATCGGTAAGAAACGATGTATTGGTGAGAAACGATGTATTGGTGAAAGCGGTGAAGCGGTGTATTGAATGGAAAGAAAAGAAAATCAAGAACTTTTTTGGGTTGGGATTGTGGTTGAGAAAATTGAAGGTTTTGGTGAGGTTGGTAAGGGGATTCCAAGGGATTTTGGGGGGTTTTTTTTTGGAAGCGGCACAGTAACGTCTCTGACTCTGGACTCTGGAGGTAGAAGGTCTGGGCACATATCTGCCTGAGGTTATCAGTAATGTCCGATTTCGGTGACTTGTCTAAAAAATTCCGAAAGGTAAATTGGCAAATAAGATATTTTATTAGGTGAATTTGATGATATTATTACTGTTTGGTATAAATAAGATTTGAACTAGTATTGAAGCTCGGACTAATTGTCGGGAATGTGGATCTATTGGACGGAGCTAAGCTTAAGACCCGGTTACCCCGCGATTATCGAATAAAAAAGAACGGGATCGGAAATTAGAAGGAAGAATATCTCGACGACTTCCCGGAGCCAAGACCAAGAACACCAACCAAATCATCTGATTTACATTAATGCCTTCTTCTCGGGTTTTTACGCTAATTCCTGGGTCTCTTCTACACGGATCATCATTGGGTCTCCCGTTGTCCATGATATTTTTTTATTTTTAAGCGCCAAGATTGATCTTTTTGGTCTAGCTCGATGTTACAGTATTTAAGGGTCACGGGATCTAACGAGGGGTTCCGCCATTTCTTAAAGATAAGATTAGTCATCCATGATTTGTTTGCTCACATTTTGACGCGTTGTTGTCAGTTAACTTCCCTTCATGAGGAAAGTCTTCATCTTTCATCAACCATCTTTTTTCATCATCTTGGAATTTCAATTCTACGCAACTGGATCCAAATAACATATATATCTCTTTGAATTACGAAGTACGTCTGGGCAAAAAGGTATCTGCATTGAGCAGTCACATCTTCAACCATGGCCCTAGAGCATGACATTGAAGAAGAATTCGATCTCTATTTGGCTTCTTTCAGAGGCGATGAATATGAAAAACTTCAGAAATACCGGTTAGATACTGAACGGCGTAGGATTGGTTATACCTCCGAGACAAATCGACTGCGTCAAGAGTTCAAGGATGACATGGAATTGCGTAAACACCGTTATTGTCGTATGGTATTGAAGTATGATAGTGATGCCTCCAATGATCAACGAATTCCACGAGAGGAATTGAGACCTCAATTTTCTGATCAGCTCTTGGTGAGTACTCTTGCAACTCTGTTGCTAAAAGTTGACCGTACTAATTGGATTCAAAAGAAACATGGTATCCTGTCAACACGGAAACTCACCCGACCTGCATATATCTTCGAAAGATTTCTCGAACTTCCTAAAGAACTCCAAATAAAAATATGGTCCATGGTAGCATATAGCAAAAATGTTTATCCACAAGATTCAGAAATATTTTCCCGGTGTGCTTCAGGCATGTAGTCTTTCTCGAGATCCATTACTTCTCCCAACCCATACACCCCCAAACACCAACTACCTCCACCCCACTCTATACATTAGCCGGCATATTATTACGTTCCCTCAACTCCTGCTCCTCGGCCTTCGCATCCAAACCATTAAGTTCATCCTCCTGCCTATCTAACCCATGATAAATGCACCAAAACAATATTCCCGCGCCAAAAGACCCCCCACAAAGCCCCACAAACATCCACATAATCGTCGGATTACCTACTAGAGGAATAAACGCCTCACCCAGCGCAAATCCAAACGCATTTGTCAGTAGAAACATTGCTTGCACAAACGACTTCATGGATACTGGGGCTTTGGTATATGCATATTCCAGCCCAGTTACTGAGGCGAAGATTTCTGATACCCCGATGAATACATAGGCTGGGATCTGGATTGCGAAATGTACATTGTTGGGCTGGATAGTGCCATCGGGTAAGATGGCAGCGGGGCACCCGAGAGGATTTCCGTAGCAGGGTCCGGCTTGGTAGATGAGGTGTTGTACGATGGCTGCGTACATCATGCTGAGACTGGCGACGATGAAACCAAATGTGATGCGGGAGATAGGGCGGAATTTAATGTGCCACTTGCGGAAGAGAGGATAGATGACACGATCCATGATGGGGACCAGGATAATGATGGATATGGGATCGAAGTTTTGGGAGAGATCGTTGGGGACGCCGTGCGTGTTCATTTCGCCGGCTTGCGAGACAAAGTTGCTGGAAAATTGCGCGTATACGAGCCAGTAGATGGGGAAGAAGAGGAAGACGCGGCAGGCTATTAGTGCTCGTTTGACTTCGTCGACGAATTGATCGTTCCATCGGTTTGTTTGGGGCATGTTGTGAGTGTATTGGTATGAAGGTTTGGCGGCGTCCATTTTTCGATGTTTGATCATTGTTCCAATGACTTTGAATGCATCGGTGATGACTGTTCCCTTGGGTGGTCGGACAACGTATCTTTTTCTCCCCAAAAGTAGTGTAGCGAAACCAATCAGGAACACACATAAACATAAAAGGAAAGCCGACCAAAATCCAATGTCCCGTTCCATGTAAGGTGTTGCGAGGAGAGAAAGAGCTCCAATATTAATACACCAATAAAATATCAAGTAAATGCGCTGGACAGTAACGGCAGGATCAATAATCACACGCTCGCCATTGGCAAGAATTTTGATGGCCATACGTTTTCGAGTATATTGATCAGCAATAAGAGGACTGACGTTGGATTTGATACCTCCAGTTCCAACACCAATGATGAGAATGGCTGCGATGAATCCTCCTAGCCCGGCTCCCTTTTCAAGGGCAAATGGTAGTGATGTCAAGACGAGAACGAGGAGTCCAACCATATAGACGATGGCAAAGTATACGATGGCTTTGAACCTGCCAAGATATTGATCGGCCATGATGGCACCAAAAAGAGGAGTAACTGGTAAAAAAATGAGCCATCGATGAGTAGAAAAGCTTGGGATTGACTTACAGTAGCACCACATGGAAAAGAATACGGTAAGAGCTGTAGCAGTTTGATGTCCGAGACCTGTTAAATCAGTCACCGATTTAAATGTCGAGCTTCAATTCTGAGCTTCTTACCGAGAGCACCTCGACCCAAGGAACCATCCAATGGTCTTTGTACATAATTTTGAAATAGTCCCACGCAGCCATAGTATGAGAACCTCTCACATAATTCTACAATGGCGACAAGCCAAGCGGACATTGGTAGACTATCCCCAACTAAACATCGTCAGTAACACTCACGATTTGGTATGGTGATTGCTATCATACCACGTCGTAGAGTTTTCTTTTCTTCTTCTGTAGGCTCTTCTTCAATGATAATGATCTTACCTACACTACTATGCCTTGCATTTGTAGTGGGAGATGCTTCATTTTTAGGACTCTCAGAACGAGTCTGACCTGAAGAGATGGTATTGTCGCTCATTCTTGAATTGTTTGTACTCTGACTCTGATTGACAGCTCTAGTTCCAAGAGATGTCTTTTTCTCCAACCTGGAAGATAGATTAGTGTTCTCTTGCGGAAAATGTGGAAATCATGTGCTTACTTATGGCTCAACATCTGTAGTTGTGTTACTTTGTGGGATGAATTGGGGTATATTGGGGGATTAACAGATTAAGTAAAATACCGACTAGTGGTCCGTTGATGTCATAAGGTTAGAAAATAACCCATCACCCATCCCCCATCACCCGTTGAAGCTAGAGAGCCAAGTAATGTGGTGAGTGACATGCAGGGTTATTGGAGTTAAGGTTGATAACGAATGAAAGGGGGGAAATGTTAGGAAGTGGGACTTGAAAGCGGGAGCCGCTGCCAAAAGCCGATTCCGGACATAGTCTTGCCAGCTACCAAATGAACTAGCAAGAAACTATCACGGTTGGTAAGGTTACGTGCTATGTGGAACTACCCAGTCCTAGTCTATCGGGAGTCTCGATGATAGAAAAGCTCGAATCCATAGCTTCCGGTTGAAAGACTGGGGTTCTCTACAAGAACGGGAAACAGAACTCGAGTATGTTTGGTTGAAGAAATGTGTAGTGAGTATAGATGGAGAGAAACGACATGAAATATGGAAAGAAAGTGGACTGTGTACGATTGAGGTTAGACTTGACTTGATCTCAAAAAATTTACTCCTGGAAGCCAAAGAAAATATTACTACCCCTCTCACCTCATTGCCCACGCAGCTCCCTTGTTATTGTGAAGTCTCCCATTGCTTTTCGCCCTAGCTTACTCGACTTATATACCCACTTTTATGTATTCACTTCAATCATAGATAAACAAGGATCGTTCTGTTCATAGAAAATACTCTATTTATCAACGAGGAGGTTGATCAATGGGTGATTCTAGACACATCCTAAACCGGGCGGGATTTGGGGGTCATGCACGCCATAGATAACCCCGCTCTCCACATAGACGAAAAGAGTGACCAAACTTGTATCGGGGATTGATACCATGTTCTCCAGACTCCATCCAATTCGAATAACACATCAATCGCAAATAATCGCAAATGCAAAAACACCTTTCAGTGAAAGACACGAATTTCAGATCCTTCCGAATCAGTATCCCAACATTGAATCATTTGTAAAAGCTGAAGGATAGAAATTGAGGACTGGAAATGCGAAGATCGGCCATCTTTTTCACCTGACGTAGAGTCCACTGACTAGTATTTTAGCTAGTTCTTGGCGGGATATATCGTAGATTGTTGGGCACAAAACCCAGATCTATGATATGGCATCCATGGTCCAGATTCTCTGCCAGTGCATCCTTCTTTTCAATTGCGGTAGCACACTGAATTGTAAAGATTCATGATGGGTACAGACTGAGACTTCTTCTGCCATAAACACTCTGCCAAACATTCTTATGCTTCCTGCGGTGCTTCCGTGGTGCAATATCAAGGGATGTCGCCCAAGTCAATAGGATGGATGAGAATGGAGTCCCATTGAGTCTATTGAGATTCTCAAGATACCAAGCTTCAGAACCCAGACCAGTAGATCCAAAGCAACAGGTTTGATCTTCACTTATCAATGCCGAGTTGGTGTAATCGAGTATATAGAAGTTTAAGTTTGACCGCCAAGAACTAACAGCGGACTGCGGCAGAATAAATTGTTTAGGGAAGCGGTGAAGAATTATTCGACCAACTTCATGCGAACGTCGAAAAAACAAATCTACAAAAAGTGTTGGAGATACCCGTAACTTCTCTCCAAGCTCTTGCAGTCTATGTTTAGTATGGATGCTGATTTACCCATCAAGCCAAGACATCCTCAAGCATCTTTCTCCGGCGTCTTGAAAGCATTCTTACATCGCATTCCGAATGTGCCAACTCCTGCGCAATTAGCCAACATGATGATTTCGGTCGATCTTGGATAACTTCCGCAGGGATTAGTGATATTGCTCACTCAGTGGCAGCATATCTCACTCAATCGTTGTAGACGAAGGATACCGTCAAATCCCTAACAAGAGACAATAGACTCAAGTGCAGGTCCTGGAAGACGGTGTTCAGTATCGTCGGTGCAGTGCTGATTTCTTGATTTCAAAATGGCATGGAACGAGATTATCATGACGGTGTAGGTTAATAACACTCAATCTTAAGAGCGCTGGGTCACTGAGAATTAAAAATGCGGGTTCCGGATGCTTCTACAAATATATGGATTGATAAGTATGTGAATATTGACATAAAGTCATAAATTTACGACCAAATCTGGGTTCATGGACTTTCTCTTTCCCTTTCCCTTTCATCATAAAATCGAATCAATTACCGGTATGTACAATGAAATTCCTTCCATGAATTCATGTCATTGATTTCTCTTTACAATATTCATTTCATCCTAAAGTTATTTCGAACTCTATAGATTTATCCCTAAAACTCAAGAGCTCATGGCTTAGTAGCATGAATCTTCTAGAATTCGCCCAGAATGGAATTGGACTTTGGGGGTAGATGACCCATCATGAAGTGCGTCTTCCAATATTCTCTAGACTTCATCACTTTCCCGCGCGACTCACCAGCCGCCTAGTCAGGCACCCATATTTTGAGTCGATTGACCATGATGTGTTCTCTCCGCACAGAAATGATTCAAACATCTCTCATCTTAGACATAGCGTGCCTAGGAAAGTTTTCAGCTACTCTTGCAGATATTGTTCAATAGTAGTCTTCCAACGACTCCAAACGACATAGGTTTTCCCTCCTGTACTTATCCTATGCGATTGTGACAGTCTCCAAACGATTGGAATGGTGCACTTGCCGCCCACAAGTTCTGACTTTCGAGTTTCTTAAGTACATGGTCATAACAGAAAATGCAGATTTGGAGTATCAAACGTGAGCAGCTGGTATTACGATTGATAAATCTGGAAATCAATGTATCAGGTAGTCAGCAGTACCAATGAAGACCTGTGAGATTTATGAAGATTTGACTTTCTTTTCTGGAATTTTACCTCATGTCATCTCATCATCATCAAAATCAGCAATAGAAGTAGCTAGATGCAATCATGGAGTACCTCATTATCAATAGAAGTACCGGTAACTGCTTGCAAACTCATAGCATCAGCGGGATAAGCTAGATGCAACGCCTCCTCATGCAAAGTTAGCTACTACAGTAGTATCATTAGTGTTTCAATAGATTTAATTATTGTACCAAGCATGTCCAGAAAATTGTGTACTAGTTTCGTTTGTATTTCAATGATATTTATTATATTCTTGGGACATTCAATCATCGATAAAAGGACCTAACTGCAATATCTCCATATCAACTCAGGCTAGGTTACATACTTTCGTACTGCAGTCATATACAAATTAACTTCTCTTGTTACCTCGATCCAGAGAAATTTGAGAGTTACCTTTTGTTGTTACCGCTCCCCTTTCCATAATTCAGTCCCTTACCGAGGTAGATAGGAAGGGGAGGACGTAAAAGAGAGGAGAGTAGTTATTGGAAGGAGAGTATATAAATTTCAATTTTCTGATGTATAATCATTTGTAATCATGCTTATATACATTTACAAGACAAGTATATTAGTTTGCATAAATGATCCCACATCCCGATCTTTTCTCTCCACAGAGATATCGAAGCACAGTAATTGACAATAGCCCCTCGTATCAGATTTTAAACCCGCAAGCTGCGAGCTGCGAGAATCAAATCCTTCTTCATAACTTGGAAGTTAGACAGTATCTCATTCGAGGAATCTCCGTCGATCGAAAGATATTTGATTTCTTTTTATAATCCAGCCTTCTCAAATACCATGGACTATTCTTCTAGTATCTATTCTGTCCTACTCGTACTTACTATAATAATAAGGCAACCCTATAAATAAGATCGATAGCTTTTCTGCCACTTCTTTTGTATAATTCTTTGACAGAGCGAACTGCAATTTTTCAATGTCTTTCAGAACTGCGCCTGTTGAGTGAAGTTCGAAATTCTCTATTGTGGAATCTGCGAATTATTTGTGTGGCTCGTGTTTCATTATCGTCGCCGTTGAATCTCTCATATATACCCTCACATGAAAATTGAAGAAATCATCCGTTCGATAATCACACAGGTGACAGGTCTACTACCGGGACTCTCTGCTGCATCGTGCTCCATACCATAATACTGAGATCATACTACTCGAGTACATCGTAAGCGTATCTAAAAAACTTTGAATCCTTTCCAAAGGCCGGTAGACTGATTGCAGCGGACATACCTAGTATTGACATAGAAAACACCAGTCTAATTCATTCGTATCAATGACTAGTTCTGGGAATTCATCAAATGTCTTTCGCCAAGTTCCTCAATATACTAACTGGCAGCTTACTATTGACGCAAAAGAAAAAGATGAAAGTCTTGTAGTGATAGTCTCAGAAACTTCTCATACCCTCTCCAATACGTGAACTCGGGTGTGAAGGTTCGGTGCGGTCCGGTAGTAAATAGTCCATTATCTTTTCTCGACCAATATACTTGAAGTTAAATCTCGTCTCCCTCAGTCTAAAAGTGGTCAGATTCGACTTTTTCGGTATGAATATAGTATCAGAGTCATCAAATGACTGAGACGAAATTTGTGGGATAAGTTACCTCATTCTTCGAAAATCGAAGTTCATTCAGGGCTCATAATATGATAGAAGAATCGATTTAAGCGCTGTAGGATTATGGAGGAGTATCATAGGAAATAATATACATACACTTATTATAAGGATCTAGGTTTAGGGATTTAGACACACATCACTAATAGTCCAAACAAAAATACAAGAAATCAAGTGATCACTTTATCCATCTGTCAGGTCTGGGGAGAAGGAATGCGCCAAGGATTCCGCGGGGATTTTCGACGCTGCGTAGATATAGAAGTCGCAGTACTGTGAGAAAGAAACCATTACATTTGCGTGTATATCGGCTCTTACAAATAGACCTGACTATTAAATTATCGTCCTTCGCCACTCATATCATCATCATTATCCTCCCAACACCATTACCGTGAACGAAAAGTTTCAACCTCGCCGTCCGCCTACCGGACAGCCTGCCTCATCTTGCCTCATTCTGCCATGCCGTGACTGAGATGCGCGTCCGATGTGGCCTTTCGACTTCAAGAATCATGTTTCTATTTATGACTCTCTCTCGATTTGGCACCCAGCCAGTATAAAAACCATTTACGAACACTTTGACCACTAATAAACTCCCGCTAACATTTCGAAAAACTGTCACAATTTCAAGTAAGATGGTATGCTAAGGCAGATTAGAATAATTTGATATGTATCGAGATTCCAGTACTAATCGCATAGCCTGAAAGTCTAGAAGCCTTCGAAAATAACATTAGGAAGGGGGTACCAGTAGAGAGGAACGAGCAAGGATTGGTTGAGCGAAAAGAGCTAACTTCTTTCATCTGGTCGAACGATTTGTCTTTTGTAATTGAAGCTTCAATACGAGTATTGAAATAAGGATACAATTCGTCAGTTGTTATTAAGATCATCCGTTATCATCTTATCACTCATAAGATCATAAGATATCATACACCCAAATCCAAATCCAAATCCAAATCCAACACCAATACCACAGCTCCCGATAAGTTAGTGGCTTACATCCACTCACCCACACACCCACTTACCAAAATAACCAATATAATGTGTGCATTTCAGCGCCAAACCCCAAACATGAAGCTATTCACGAATCCCGGACCAAAAGAAATCCAAAACCAAAGCGAGTTCCACATTTGTCAGTCTCGAAGCGTCGAAAGATTGAGATGTGAAGCTCAGGCTGGGGAACGCTAGGGAAATCAGCGGATATATTCGGTGTACTAGGTAAGCTTGTTTTGACTTCGGCCAAGATTTCTGTTTGAGGATAGGGTAGGTAGGCTAACAATTCCTCGGTTGGGGCTTCCCCGCCTCGCGTGCTCATGTGATGCGATTCTCCTTGCATGGTAATACCTCGATTTGGAATCTGGGATATGCGCAAAATACCGGTATATACATATGCAATAAGGTAAGATGTGAGCGAGATGAGAGTAAAACGTATATACGTACGAGTAAACACCTCAAAGCTAGGGCAGTACTACTATACTACCTACTGTACCAGTATACCCAATACTTTCGCAAATCCCTACAACAGTATTACTACTCAGTAACCATTGACCAAAGCATAAGGGAGTCAGTCTAAGGACATCAAAAATAGAGAAATCAAACATCAGTAGATCCGCACGTGGTTAGTGGTTAGTGCAACGATACAGACCTTCCTTATCGGGCCACCCACACACACCCTGAGAATGACCCTAGAAGCATCGTGAGATTAATAGTCCTGGCGTCTGTGACTCTGTTCACTCTATTCACTCTATTCACTCTATTCACACTCTCTTCCATGCGAGCTTCCATTCCATTGACCAGCCCGGGTGTTCGAACTTCGAAGATAAGGAAAACGTTCAAACGTCCGATCGGTCAGTAGATCCGAGAAAACTAATCGTTTATTGATCTAGCTCAAATGTCGCGATTCGATTATTTCTTTGGGTTTGTACTGGAGTAGTAAGTCAGTCTGTTGGTCGGTCTCGACGCTTGTATAACTAATGATCAAAAATCAAAAATCAAAAATCAAAATTTTCGATCGACATTCGAGCCATTTTGGGACTTTTTCTAGAACTTCTAATGCTTCTAAACCTTCTTCATAGAAAGTCTGCTCTGTACACTAGAACCTAGTTCTCACAAATATCATAGCACAATGCCTGTCAATAAAAAGATCATATATAAAAGAAATTGGCACGATCATCCAAAGTGGAGCGTGACACGATCTCATCATTCGTTTAATTCTTATCTGTATGGATATATATCCTATCAGATCAGTGTATTCAGAATTCGAATTAGACGAGGGCTCGATTTTGCCACGGAAACAGTACTAGTGTCTTCGGTGCAGATTTCTAGAAATCTGCCTTATTGGGTAGAGTAGGTAGGGGAACATCTATATGCAATGTTACATATTGGTCACGTTGGACAATGTTTCCTTGGTCCGGGCCTTCTAGAGAAGCTCTCGTGTTTTTCTTGTCTGCTCATTGTGGTGGTGGGACAATCATACAATCATCTCATCGCCTTTGGCTTGTATTTATTCGAAGCTAGTGACTTTCTCATTTAAGGGATGATGATTCCTCGTACTGTAGAAATGTATGATGCGATAGTGCTCATAGGATTTGCTTTATTTAGGTATATCTCTGCGATAAGAAAGTAAACTTATATCACTAACCTGCTAATCTCTGACGTGATCGACTATTGATTTGAAGGATCTGTCAATATGTTATGTTTCGAGATCTAGACATTCAATTCATTCGGATGAAGATCATGAAAGCTGTCAGCATATCATCAGCCTGCACCCTCCCGTTCGTCCAATTCATTCTCACACCCAAGGAACCCAAGCTAGATCAGCACGCTAAATTAATAGTCCCCTTCAGGCTTCGGCTATTATCTTTTTTTGAATCCTTCCCCAGCCAGCCTAGCAATACAGTATCAATTCCATCTCAAATGAATGATTGGCTAGGTTAATTCCTGTATCTCCAAGCTAATAAATAAGGTTAATGGAAATATCGAATAGGTTGTTTGCGATTTTCTTCCATATTATTATTATTATATCGAATATGAGAAATTCGGAGTATGTATTGTATTGTCACGGTCGGCTCTAAAAAATGGCAGGTCAGTGGGCGGCCTCGCCGAAAATACACCTAGATCTAGACCAAGCTAGACCTAGACCAATTAGACAACTCAGGACATGGGAATTATCCTCTCTCTACCTTTGAGCCAAGTTAATTATCGCTACTACCTATAATGTTATTCCTGGGCACTGCTACATATAGCATGGAGTTATTTATTGTACGAGTAGAACTTGGTTTTAACGGATGCCTAAATAGATAGCGCGTCTGCTAATTGAAAAAGCTGCAGGTGGCATGGCATTGCATGCAAGGCATCAGCAATGTTCTACGACCTATAAAGCCTGTGCTACCTGCCCTACAGAGCCTACTGACCTGTGTGCTGTACGAGTAGGTAAATTATAGTGTACTGTACTATATGGAATCAGCCCTGGTCGTTGAACAATATATTAAATTCCGCATCAGTACTTCACATAAGTCGTTAGCGGCTTTCTGCAAGAACTTTCCAATCCTTCAATCGCTGCTTGATATGATCAACTGTTAATTCGAATTGGGATTGATGGTGATGGGTGAACAATGGTGTACAGCGCTCCCGTTTTGATATTAGCCAATGTGCGTATTTAGTTGTCTGTCCAATATAAGTTTTCCAATCAGATCCAATGAGCCGAGGAGCTGGAAATTGAAACAACTTACAGCTGCAGCTAGCTGGCTCGCGATGGCGTTTTGGTACCGCAGGGCATATCACATCGTGTCGAACCGCCCAAACATTTAAATTCACTAGTCGCGCATCTTGGGTATCATTCACCTTCAATACATACTGGAGATTATATAAAGTTACTCGATCCTCTCCTCTTTTCTTCCTATTTCCTCCTCGTTAACATCGCATCGAACCTTTTTCCCTATCCAACCCAAACCCAACCCATAATCATGGAGAAGGAACATTATAATGTCGATGAGTCGCCTGACTATAATGGAAATCATGCTCATACACATGCTCATGCTAATGCTAATGCTAATGCTAATACTCATGCCAAATACGTCGATCCTGTCACCGGCCACGCAACAAAAGCCGGTCGCGTACAGGAAGCTGGTGAACTATATGGAAATATCGAAACGGCCGAAGAATACGGTTATGTAACTCGAGGGTAAGTTTAAGGCCCATCCATATTTGCTCCAAATAATTCATATCCAACGAAAGCTAACTGTAACTTTAATCAAAGACTGAAATCCAGACATATCCAATTTATCGCGCTCGGTGGTACCATTGGTACGGGTCTCTTCTTGGGTATTGGAAGTGCTCTTACGCAGGCCGGCCCTCTCTCGATCCTGCTGGGTTATAGCTTTACTGGTATTGCTATCTTTGCTATGATGCAGTGTTTGGGTGAGATGGCTACTTGGTTACCATTACCTGGAGCCATCCCCCAATTCTGCGCTCGTTATGTCGACGATGCGCTTGGTTTTGCTGTCGGATGGAATGTAAGTTACTTACTTCTCTCTCACGAGCTCGTCGTAGAACCCCTTAGTTGTTCGTCATCAAGCCCCACTGCTAGCTCTTGGCAATACGCATAGGTTCTATCATTCGCTCAACACAAGGTGTAATATCATGAGTTAATAGTCTTATACTAACTAACATTTATGATCCAAACAGAACTGGTACGCCTCAGCAATCACCCTTTGTGCCGAAATATCAGCCGCGGCTGTCGTTATTCAATACTGGCCCGGAGCAATCCACATCAATGTCGCAGCCTGGATCTCCTTAATCATCGTCCTCGTCGTCTGTCTCAACATTTTCGCGGTCCAAATATACGGAGAAGCGGAATTCCTATTCGCCAGTATCAAAATCATTACAATTGTGGGTCTTTTGATCATGGCGTTCATAGTGGATCTCGGAGGAAACCCCAAGCACGATCGTTTGGGATTCCGTTACTGGAAGCACGGTCAAGCGATGAAGGAATACGATTCGACGGGAGCTACAGGTCGATTCCTGGGTCTCTTCTCGGTTCTTGTCAATGCTGCCTTTTCGTATGGTGGTGTGGAATTGGTTGCGGTGGCTGCTGGCGAAGCCGAGAATCCACGCAAGAATATTCCAAAGGCGGTTCGCAGAGTCTTTTGGCGTATCTTATTCTTCTATGTTCTTGGATCGTTGGCCATCGGTGTCCTCGTTTCTTCTAGCGATCCATTTTTGCTCAAAGCTCAAGATGAAGGTGCTGCAGGTGCAGCTCGATCTCCTTGGGTTATTGGAATCCAGAATGCCGGTATTCCAGTGTTGCCATCCATCATCAATGCCGTCATTTTGACTTCCGCATCTTCTTCCGCTAATGCATTCTTGTATACCGGATCTCGATACTTGTTTGCTCTTGCTCAGAATAAACAAGCCCCAAGATTTCTTCTCAGATGCAGCAAGGCAGGTGTCCCATACTGGGCTGTCCTCATCACAGCATCAATCTCTGGCCTCACATATTTATCGGTTAGTTCTGGCGGTGCATCAACCGCTTTCGGATGGTTTCAAAACTTGACCACAATCGCATCTCTTTTCACATGGTGTTCCATTTGCGTTGCCTACATTCAATTCCATAAATCTTTGGCAGCTCAAGGTGTCGATAGAAATACTCTCGTCTTCAAGAGTAAATTTCAGCCATATACGGCTTACCTCGCATTAGGCTTCTTCGCCGTCATCATCCTCTTCAATGGATTTGATGTCTTTGTTGGCCAGAACCACTCTCACTGGAGTGTCACCAGTAAGTATTTACTCCTAAATCTATTGATAAATAACCTAACATCCATTAGATTTCCTCACCGCATACCTCGGAGTACCAATCTTCTTCCTGCTCTTTGGCTTCTGGAAAATCTTCAAGCGTACAAAGTGGATCCCCCCAGCTGATGCCGATATCTACACTGGTAAGGCCGCACTTGATGCTGAAGATGGACAATGGCCAGATTTGAAACCAAGAAATATTTTTGAGAAGATATGGTTCTGGATTGCGTAGATGGGGGGTGGGGAGGGAGCAGGGGCATATAAATGGGAATGCTTTACACTTCCCGTATTTTTGCATGATGGATCGAGTACCCCATTGAGCTCGAATCTAATCGGTTGCGTTTTAGCTGCATACTCTAAAGATATCCCCGTAATCAGTAAATAGGGAAGACTTCTAGAATCGAACTTCTTTTTGACTTATATGTAATGACGATTTATGGATGACCTATGATTTTTGATGAGATTCAATGCTAGAAATATTTCATGCCCTAGAGTGTTATATAATGAAACTAATGTGTTTCTTTCCGTTGTCTCTGCTCCTTTCTTTCACGACAAATAGCGTATTTGAATATTGCCTACTAGGCACGTATTCCACAAATCATCATCAATCATTATCAAAAACTCGATATATAAATCGCATACGCACATGAGACGATATTTATCATTCGATTCTTCTAGCCAACTCGTACATCGAAATCTATACAATACAAAAATTGTGAGTAATAAGTCAAGTATCGAGAATCAAGCAAGATACGTGCACGATATATAAACAAATACAACCCCAATTGAATTTAACCCAGCCCAAGAGGAAAGTATTAATTAATATTTTAAATTCCATTCTAGTCATCAGTACATCCCCCCCCCCCCAACCAACACCTCACCAACCCTTTATGAATACATACCAAATAAGTAAACTAAATCAAGAAAAGTTTCTCTACATAATAACAATAACTCCTACCCAAATCCAAATCCAATCCCTACCATCAAATCCATATCCGTATCCAAATCGCAAACACAAAGCAATAAAAAATCAAAATTGAAAAATATAAAATCAACGCATATAATTATCTAGCTATCTGATCATCTACGAGTAGCTATCTAGCTCTTCAATAACGACGAGGGGAATTTCTAGCCCGCGACACCCTGACCTGATACCCTGAAACCTTGAAATCTTTGAGATGTATTTACCATGCATCCATACATCCCCAGGCATGCTGAACCCCAAATAAACACATCTTTTAGAGAAAGAAAAAAGAAATTAGTGGGGAATCTTGAAGAGCAAAGCAAATATCGAATCCCAAGTCATCCCATCCAGTAAACCCCATCCCATGCAGCAAATGCTACCCAATCACCACCATTCCCACCATCATTCCCATCCCCATTACCAGCCACTCAAAAAACCCACCCACCAAAATCTACACAACAACAACCGAAGAACCCTCATCACTATCCTTTTGACTAGTCGTTTCTGTTTCTGTTTCTGTTTCTATTCCCGCTTCCTGTTCATCTTTCTTCTCTTCTCCATCTTTCGTGCTGATCTGGACATCAAGTTCAACATCAATGTCAACCTCTACTTCAATAATTGAGTCTGTGGAATCCTCGACTTTCACATCAACTATATCCTTCTCATCTTCAGTTGCTTTCTGGGTTTCGGTTTCTGGTTCCTTGTTTGCAGTTTCGGATTCTGCTTTCTTGTCGGTGTCGGTGTCGGTTCTCGTCTTTTCTTTCTCAACATTCTCGCATTCGTCTTCCTTATCATCGCCATCTTTCTTTTCATCAATATTCTCTCCCTCCTTCTCCTTCCCCTTTCCCTTCCCCTCCTCAATCGGATCCTCCCTCTCCTCAACCGGACTCTCCACCACCGCCTTATCCGCCGCATCCGCCGCCGAATCATCAACATCCAACTTCTTCTCCCCAACCTCCATTGGACTCTCTTCCTCCTCCTCATCATCACTGATCTCTTCCCCCATAATATCCCTCCTCTTCCTTTTCTTTTCCGGCTCCTCCCACCTTCTCTCCCTCTTGACGGTCACCGTCACCGCACTCTCCTTACTATAAACTCTTAATCCTACCACCAAGACTGCATTCCATGGATCTTTCTCGAACTCATCTTCTTCTTCTTCTTTGTCCTTGGATGGGGGTGCAGGTGGGGTAATTTTGTTTTCCGCTTCGATTTTGTCGTCGATTACTCCAACTGTGATGTCGGAAATATCGGAAGAGATAGATTCGAGGTCAGAGTCGTCTGAGTCATCAATGGGTGTTATTGGAGGACGCGGGGATGATGAAATCACGGGTGATTTGGATGTAGGTGTAGATGGTTTGGTAGTTGTAGCCGATTTGACATCAACAGATATGGCCTTTACCTGAATGACTGTGTCACCTGACTGAATCTCCGTTGCTTCATTTCCTGGTTTATCGGTGGAGGTTGAGTTTGTAGGTCCTTCTGATGTGGCTCCCGTAGTAATCGATGGTTCCTTAGTCTCTAGTGGTTTGTCGGACGATGCTTCATCGGTCGATTTTGTCATTTCATCATCTTTGGTTTCAATTTCAATGGACTTAACTTCCACATCCTTAACTTCGGCATTTTGATCTTGACCTGCAGCCTTTTCCGCAGCTTGTTTCGCAGCTTGTTCCGCAGCCAACTTAGCAGCATCTTCAGCGGCCTTTTGAGCTTTTTTGGCTTCTTCCGCAGCAACCTTTTTGGCTTTTTGAGCTTTGGCCTTAGCCTTGCGTTTAATTTTCTTCTCTTGGACTTTGCGTTTCTCCTTATTGTCATTATGGACCATCTTCTGCTTTTCCTTCATTAACCTCTCCTTGACTTCTTTCCTCAGCTTATTCTTCCTCTTCTCCTCAGCCTCTTTTCTAGCTTTCTTTTCCTCGGGAGTCTCCCTGAATATTCCCTTGGCATGAGCTAAATCGTAAGATAGACCGATGCGGGAGAGCTTGTCACGACGTTTCTTAGCGTTGTTTCGGACAACAACTTCGACCGGAAGAGAACCTCCATCTTTGAAAGCTTTAACTTTCATCAAGACATCATATTCGCCGGCTGGAAGTTCCAATTCAGCAGTAACAGATCGACGCATCCAATAATTACCATGACTTCGAACAATATAATCCTCTTCCCCTGCTTTGTGAATACGGAAAGACAATTCAAACCGATATTGTCCTTCGAGCCCAAAGAAGTAACGACCGTCGAGTTGAGAGAGGACAATCATAACAGGCGCTGCGTTATCAAGAGTGAAAGAGAATTTGGTATCATGGTAGTTAACGGTCCATGGAACTTCCATGGAGGCCCAAGACTGCGTGACTTTCCATTCATCGGTGAACAATCGTGTGCGATCGAATGTTTGATACTTCTTGAGAAGATCCTCATATGACATCCAAAACGATCCGTCATCTCCGAAGCGATGCTCCAGTTTTTTCATCCATTCTGGTGTCCACTCTTTGCTTCCATCGCCTATTACGAGTTAGTAAAAGAAAATTCATACGAAGGACAAGTGTAACTCACTCCAAGCGCCTTTCCATTCACCCTCACCCCATGGATTTCTCAGCAAGACAAGTCGTTGCCCATCAATCTCCACAGCTTGTAAAATCGAGTATGCATGACCCTCATAGATACCTTTTCTATTACCACGTCCCCAAAAAATACCGGCAGCGCAACCGAATAGAAAATCTTTATTGACTTTCAACAATTCCTCTTTCCAGAAGTACTCCTTGTCGAGAATATCCGTGCTAAATATTTCGGTTGTGACGCCACCAGTAAGATCTTCAAGTCCTTCACCAGTGAAACCTCCTTCAATAGCGGCGTAATCCTGTGACTTGTCAGTGAATGATCCATGTATCCGTGCCGGATAAACTTACCCCATGAGCTTTTGCGTACGCCTTCTCAAGCAACGGCAACCAAGTCTCATTTGGATCTTCGCACTGCGCAAAATACAACGCACCAGAGTTACTCTGATAAATCTTGCGGTAATCTTCTTCGGAATTGATACGTTGGCGATCTTCAATGAGATTACGTTCAATCCAACTCTCATCATAATCAGGCTTCGTCAAATAAAGCTTGTCATCAATGATCTCAGATCTCCACTCCCCATCTCGATGGAAAACAAATCCATAAACACCAATCTCCTCATCTCGGGCACAACAAACCTTTTCAATCAAGCCAGGCTTATTTCCCAATGTGCAAAGCGCTGCCATGAACCAACAATCACCATCACGTCCTTGCCTGATATCATTTGCGGTTGCCCCGCTCACATAAAATTGAGGATTATCGAATATGTCACCGACTCTTTTGACAGACCCAGGACTGAATGTTGGTATTAATTTCTCACTTGTATTCTGGAGCATTTGCAGACAATCTCCCTTGCCCCATTTCAAGTCGAACTCAATATCGAAATGTGGATCACGGTATTTTTGGTTTACTCGACGACATTCTTTAACGATTTTGGCAACTTTGGCCTTGCAAATTGCTGCCGCTTCTTCGTATGATGCAACAGCATTCTTTCCTTTTATGACCGGCTTGGACGCCTTCTGGCCGGCTTTTTGTGTGTAAAGGTTCTTAGGTAGGACAGTGGAAGCTAAATTCCAGACACAAATCAGTATTTGTGTCGTGATTCCTGGAGAGGTTGGGTTATAACTTACCCTTTCCTGGTGTTTTGCTTTTGAATTTGGCCCAGAAATCATCTATGGCATCTTGAGGCGATACATGCTTGGTATTCTTAACTTCTGGGGCTGGAACGAAAACGATATTCCCTCCCGGCCCTTGTTTATACACCATTTGAGACGAATCGTCAGAGTCGTCAGAAGAATCATCGCTGCTAGAGTCGCATGAACGGGGGGGTGGTGGGGCAGCCATCTTGTTGAACCTCTTGTTGAATTTTCCGAGTCCCGGGGATGGTGGTACAGCCATATTTAAGCTTCAAGCAGCAGTTAATTACCAAGAACACGCTACTCCTGTGCAACCGACGCGCTCGTTCGATACTCAAGGCGCTCGTTCGATGAAATATACAGTGAATAATGAAGTTGGGCCGACTTGCAAGATAGTGACAAAGAAAAGAGATGAGTAGAAATAAAAGATGAAAACCATCTGAAGGCAGAACTTCCTTAAATGATATCGTACAACCTCAGCACCCCCACCTAGAACTCGAACCATCCAACAGCTATTGGCGCTTACCTCCCATGTTCAGCGGCTGAAAATTCCTTTGGTCTCCCCGCGCGACAATGACTGATCGAGTACATGCCTAAGCCCATACTACCAATCATCTCGACATACATTTAAAAGATGCATCTATGACCATTCAATAATTTTGACGAGTCACCCAATCTGCAAAGAGTGGCTGCTGTGTGCAGTGATTTGAGGTTGAGCGTGACCAGGATTGATTGTTGGCTGCATATGACTAATCGGGTGTAAGCCCAAGGCCACCGGGCCTCAATGCCTCACCGAGCATTCGGAGACCCAGAACCATCACGGTGTGTGGATAAATTGAAATCGTGGCCTATTTCCTGCCACATTGGATGACTCTTATGAAAAGATGGAAGGATGGAAAGAAGAGGATATACTTTTTATATCAGATGAACGGGCGACCGTGATTCATCCATCCGTTTGTTAGTAAAATGCGGGGGTCGCATGGACATACCCAAACTAGCTTAGATTGTCTAGGTACTAATGAAGAAATCGTGATCTTCGATTATATAGTGGATCCGCCATAGATTAGTTCATGACATTTATCATAATATGCATATCAATATCGATAACCTATCTCGGGGGAGATACTTCAAAATGTAGTTCAACATGAAGGGGATTCCGTCCCCTTTCCCCCAAGTGAAATCCCAGATATCGGTACCAGTATCATTATGATTTCCCCCTTCATCCCATTTTTAGCACTTCTACCCGCCGTAACCAACACCACTACTCCTCCAAGACCGCATCAAAGACCACTAAATTTAAATTCCAAGCCCACCAACAACCAACACACCAATTTCATCTCCTCTTCCATATTTAGCCCATACGAAAACAAGCTCTCAGTAAGGGAAATAGACGAACCAGTTGGACTTAAACCAACATACGAATGGCGAACTTTCGCCGATGACAACGACCTCGATGATATAATATCCAACTCAGGTGGAACATTTGCGCATCTACCTGCTATAGATTGTTTCAATCAGGAGAGCGATGCATCATTCGACGTGGCGATTGTCGGTCACCCCTTTGATCTCGGGGTTACGTATCGGCCCGGAGCCAGATTTGGTCCCAGTGCTGCACGGCAGGGGGCTCGAAGGATGTCGCCGACGTTTGGGTGGAGGCAGGTTTGGTCATTTGACTAGGCTATCAGGACTACAATGCTGACTGTTGGTAGTGTTGATACGGGTGTGAATCCTTTCCGTGACTGGGCTACTGTGGTTGATTGTGGAGATATCTCGAATACGCCTTTTGATAAGCATCTTGCATTGAAACAGCTCGAGAATGGTATGAAAGCAATCAATTCACGAAGGCCAAAGAATGCCACCGATGGAAAAGCTATCAGGGTCATTAGCATAGGTGGTGATCATACCATCAGTAAGTCCACTTCACCCTAAATATCTCAACCGCTCTTGAATATTGAGCCCAATATCCAGCATTACCCATCCTTCGAGCCCTCCACTCAACATGGGGACGCGTCGCCGTCTTACACTTCGACTCGCATCTTGACACATGGGACCCTGTGCAGCTCGGTGGAGGCCTATCCAAATACACCGATGTCAACCACGGAACCATGTTACACATTGCACACGAAGAGGGACTCTTGTCAAATCATAGTAATATGCATCTGGGAACACGATGTCCACTTCGGGATCAGCATTTTGACTTAGATAATGATCTCCGATGTGGTTTTAAATACGTTCGAGCGAGAGAGCTTGATAAGCTTGGTATTGAAGAGGTGGTTCGAAGGATTGTTGAGACTGTCGGTGATGAGTATGTCTATTTGAGTGTAGATATTGATGTGTTAGATCCAGCTTTCGCACCTGCCACTGGAACAATTGAACCTGGTGGATGGACGACAAGAGAGGTATGTTTCCAAGTCTTATACTTAGTTTCCCATCGCTAACGTCTCATCAACAGCTTTTACAAATTATCGGTGGGCTATCAAGAGCAGGATTGAAGATCGTAGGATCAGATGTTGTGGAATTTACTCCAGTGTATGATAATACTGCCGAGACTACGGGCATCGTCGTTGGGGAGATAATCTATGAAATTCTTCAATGGATGGTGCATGTCCCAGTCACCCCTAGGGAGTATCAAGATTTATAATTCCATCATTTGGATAGATAATGATCATATTCATGAAATTATTTGAAGCTGTGCCTTTTATTCGTTGCATAATCATTATTCCTCTTTATTACATATGTATGATCCGATACTCCCTGCCTTTCCATCCCTCCATATTTTCCCTTAGAGCGTGAATCTGATTCAGATCTTAATCTCGGCTGGGACACTGATTCCCAAGATATCCAGTCCCTTCTTCAATTCACTCTTGTTAGGCATCTTTCCTCTTCTCATCAACTCTGACGCTTGGGTCATAACTGGGTCAGTCTGCATAGTACCGACAGCCACAACTGTTTCTCCCTTGCAATAATAAGCCACGAATTTTGCCTTTTCTGGCTCTCCCTTTAGCACAAGCTCATCCCAACCATTTGGTGTACTACCACAATATCTAAGTTGCGAGCCGAGGGCTGACCAGAAAATCGGAATAAATGATTTTGACTTTGCGGAGGGGTCATTGATATGTGTGGCAACGCTACGTCCCGAGTTTTGAGCTACGTTCCAGTGCTCAATGCGAGTCAAGGCTCCTTCACCACCAGGTCCATGGTAAGGATAAGTTGCGATATCGCCAATGGCATATACATCCTTCATACCAGAGACCAGGAAGTTCTCATCTGTCTTTAATGAGCCATCTTTCTGAAGCTCAACTGATTTATTGTCTTTCAAGTATTCAGTTGCAGGGCTAACACCGGTTCCTAGGACCACCAAGTCTGCTTCTAGTGTGGTGCCGTCCTTCAATTGTACACCACCGACCTTGGAAGGGTCTGACTTTGATGGAACAGCTTTCTCCACACCAGCTTCCATGAGGAATTTGACACCATTTCCTTCCAAAGTCTTTTGGAAGATCTTTCCTACTTCAGCACCCATGACTCTCTCTAGTGGTGCAGATTCCATGCCAACGACTGTAACATCGTTATCTTTAGCTGTGGCATTGGCAACTTCCATGCCAATAAAAGAGCTTCCAATAACGACAATCTTCTTATTCTTCTCTCCGATGGCCGCCACGATACCCTTGACATGGTGAACATTACGAAGGAGAAAAATATTACCCAGTTCCTTGAAACCAGGCAAAGGCAGACTCTTTGGAGCTCCACCAGAAGCCAATACTAGCTTCGTGTAAGGGAAGCTAAAGAAAAACAGACAAATTAGTATCTAAAATTTGGAGCTTTCCCATATCTCGTTCGGTTATTTCGGGATGGATATTGGAACAAATACAACTCCATGTGGAGTATTGTATCACGGACAGGGGTATACTTACGAACTACCATTTTTTGTTACTACTTTCTTACCCGGAAAGTCGATACTGGTGACGGTATCATTGACATTGGCAATCGATCCGTCTTTGAACCAAGCCTCATCCCTCAAAGCAATTTTTGATGGATCATCAATAAGAGCCTTCGACAGTTTTGTTCTATCAATTGGTAGGTAACCTTCGTCGCCGATCATGGTGATTGAGCCCTTAAAGCCAGCTTCACGCAGTGCCTCGAGTGTACTGAGGGCGCCGCTTCCACCACCGACGATTACTACCTTTTCTGATCCGACACCACCGGTGATCTTGATATTTGGTTTTCTGCGGCTACCCTTGATAGCTTCTTGTTCTCCGGTTACATATACGGAACCATTCTTCTCAGACAACTCAAATGAAGGAAGGGCATCAATAGCAGGAGCGTTTTCGATATCTCCGTTCGTGGCATTGAAGCAAGCTATGAATGGCAAGTTAGCATATCTTCTTCTGCAGCTTGAAGGACATGGATATATACCTCCGTGCCATGGGCAAGTTATACGGCCATCCCCAGTTAAAACACCCTTGACCAATGGAGCACCATAATGTGTGCATTTATGGCCTAGAGCTGTGACCTTTCCACCGACATTACACAACAATACTTTGCCTCCTTCAATACCCTCAACTTCAACTTCCTTCTTCTCCCCGGGCTTCAAATCTAAGGTACTGAAATCCTTGAGCTTATATTCTTGTGCCATTGTGATTCTTGTCGTGGTGAATTGCTTTGTAGTGTTTTTATGTAGAATGCGGGGAACTGAAGCTTGTCGACTAAAATGTCGTAGATTTCTTGTTACAATGGATTTGAGAGAGTACATGAAAGGAGAAGAACGGAGAGATGAATGAGATGAGTGAAAGGGTCGAGAGAAGGGAGAATATAATGAGGTCGTTGATTTGTTGCTTATTACCTACCTACGTAGATAGGAGTGAACTGCTGCAATGGGCATGGTAATTGAGATCATATCATTGGACGAGAGTTAAGCTTGAGCTCTTTTGTCGTCACCGGTTTGGTGGGGGAATATCGGATGGTGCAGTTTCATTGGTTGAAGCTATCGATAAGCCCAAGCTCAAGGGCTATTGGTTGGCCCTTTCTTCATCTTTTATGCATCTGTTTGTTTTTGAGAGGAAATCGCAAGGGAAGCTCAGGATTTATATCTTCATTTCAAACAATGGAGACAGGAGCTTCGAAGTGTAAAGATCTCAAATATTCATTCTCCCCGCCCCTCCTTTACCTAGTCACGTCTTCGGAGCAGATTGTTAAGGAAGCTCAAAAAGCTTATATCCTCATACCAAACGATGGAGACTAACTATCTTTCTGTATACTTCCAATATCCTAATGAGAAGTCACGATCTGGTTTGCCTAATTATCAATCAGCCATCTCCTGCTACGCGACTAAACACTAAGTGACGATGGGGGAAAGTGTCATTGGAAAGTCTTTTGCGTTCCTGATCGTTCTTTCCTCGGAAAATGTGGACTTTACCTACCTTCTCCCTCCATCTGCGCCATTTTCTTTGATATTTCCCACTCTGTTGATGTCTTTTCATTCTGTGCATACAAAAGTTCAAAACCGACATGATGCTTTCCTTTATTACAATCTACAGCTTCTTAAGCTTCATAGCTGTTGCAGATGCATACACAACCTTCGATACGACGTGTGCAATTCCAGCTAAAACGACTAGTTATGTCTCACCACCCAACAGTCGAGGTACTCTAAATATTCTTTGGACTTGTCTTTTTACAATCTACGCCTGCACATGGGCAATTCAGCATCTCAATGTGCCGAAGCAACGAGAAGGTCGTGAATCCGGTTGGAAAGATAACTTAATGTGGAAAATCAGAGGCTTCGAAACGAGTCTAAAATGGATGTTAGCGACTATCATTGCCCCAGAGATATTGCTTGCTAAGGCGTGGAGTGACCTTGACGTTGCGCGAAAGCAACTGGAAAAGTTTAAGCCTTGGGCGGCTGATGATGATGTTGAGTGGACATTGACTCATACTTTGTTCGCAAATATGGGTGGATTCGTGATTCGAAGCAATCCGCCGTCATACGACAATCAAGATATCGAAGCTAACGCGAGCGTTGCCATTGATCTACTCGGTGGCCAGCCACCACAAATACCTTTAGCGGAAGTCCTAGCTCCATTGATGGAATCATCTATCGGATGCGTATCTTCGGATACCAACGATGCTTCGACCCGTGTTAACATCTCCAACTCCGATGCTGTTGTCGGTCAGCAATTCAATTATCCGAACCCATACCACTTGACCGCCAAGCAGCTCCTGTCACTTCGAAGATGCGATTATATAAGGCTTCCAAATATCACGTTAGACGAGATCAATGACAAAAGCAAAAGTGATACGTTCGTGAGGCTTACCGCGGTTGCTCAATTCTTGTGGATCGTTGCTCAAATCATCGTTCGTGCAGTGGAAGGATTGGTGATATCACAACTTGAGATAGCAGTGGTAGCCTTCTCGACTTGCGCCGTCTTGATATACATACTCAATTGGAGCAAGCCCAAAGGAGTGCTAGTCCCTTTCACAATACTTCATTACGAAGGTGCAATCCCTACCGAGATGCTCGAATTCATGAGAAAAGACTTGGATCGCTCATCGATGTCAACCATCATGCTTAACGCCGATTGTCAAAGCATCACTTCTGGCGATCCAATCCCCAACGATGCGATCTATTCCTACGACGACGCATGGCTCATAGGATTCGAGTTTGGCAGCATAGTTTTCGGATGCATACACGTTGCAGCATGGAACTTTGTGTTTCCAACCCGAATCGAGCAGATACTTTGGTGGTCCACGAGTATCTGGTGCACCGTCTTCGTTTTGATCTACACCCTCATCCCATATTGTGGCATGATTTGTTTCGGGGATTTCAAAAGCATCGCAACACCCAAAGAACTTGCTTGGGGTGCGGCTCCTTTATTCTTCTTGTATGCTTTAGCTAGAATCTTCTTGGTGGTGGAAATGTTTCGTTCATTGTGTTACTTGCCTCCTTCGGCGTTTATAGCTACGGAGTTGTTGAATATTCCTCACATTGGCTGATATTTTGGTGGCATAACTCGAAGTAGTATGTTATGTATATAGATATCAAGATGGTGAGATAATGCTGGGTGGAGTTTGTATGTTAATGAAAGTAGTAATTCACATCTAGCTTTTCTTCAAACTCAAACATCATCCATGGTATGGTGCGTACTGTACAGTATGTGCTCTCGCAATTGTGAATAGAGGATGATGTGTGCAATACTCGTACTTGTACAGCACATTGACATTCCTCTACTAAATACTCTAATATCTTTAGTACTATCCACTTCATTTATACACAGCCAATTCATTCAGAGTCATTCTTAGGGTTGTATATTACAACAACCAAAATATGCCTTAATATTTGGCCAAGTAATGAAAGAGGGTACTCATGCCACCAGAAAATCCGCAACTCGGGTAAACCAGTATATATCTACCATATAGTAATAAACTACAAAAGTGTGACCTAATTTTTTAACTTCAAGTTTCCGAGTTGCGGACTTTCTGGCGATATGAGTATAGAAAAGGAAATATTTATCTCGATAAGGGAAAAGGAATATTTGTACAGCTCATTATAATTAATAGTCGGTAGAAAGATAATGTTATTTACGAGTAGATATCTTTAGTTTAAATCGACTGAGTGTTTTGATTTTGTGAGTAAACACCACCCCACTTCTGACTTCATGTGATGAGCACATGACCTCTTCTCCTCATTAGAGTTCCGGGTTAATCTCGTCAGACGTCTAGCTTTATCGGGAGCCATATTGGCCAATGATTTGATTAATGTTATCTCATAATATCTTCGTTAGCTCTCTCCACACGCGGTTGGGTTTCCGGCCAATTTACCAATCATAGAAATGTAGAAGGGGTCATACTGAGTACAAAGAAATGAATGATGATAAATCAATACCGACACAACATTCTTTCATGTTTATAATAAGAACTTTTGATCAAAAGTTATATTTTTGTATGAAAGTTCATACCAGAATTGGTTATTGCTTTCTTGGATAGTTCCACGAAAGCTCTATCATCTATGTCATGCAATTTTGGGTTAATATGTAGGTACACAAACACGTGGTCGGGTATATCTTCATTTCCCCTTTTTGTTCCTAACCTCTCATCAAATTTTCGTATCAAGTCGTTAATATCCTTTTGACAATAGAAATATTCAAGTGAATACTCCCAACGTTCAATAATAATCTCTTATCGTTGAATCCACCGTGAATACCCATCAAGCAGGAGCGAGAGGGCATGTCCTTGCTGTGGCCGGAAGGCATTCCGGCCACGAAAAATCAAGATAAAAAGGACAGGAATTTCGCACCTTCGATTGAAAATTCCTTTATCCTTTAACAACAAAACATCAACCAAACTTCAAGAACTATCAAATCAAGTTTCTCCAGCAAGTTTTCTATCAAATTTTCTATCAAATCTTACAACATCACAAGTTTCTCATTGATCTTTTGAACTCACATCCATCATGGGTTCAATAACTCCCACTCCTCTCCCACATTTCGAAGTCCTCAGGGATACCAAATCAAATGACACCTCTATGCCCGCCTTCATGGTCTCAACAACCAGAGGATTCCTTCCACGCGCCGAACCTATCATCACCCTTCCCTTCGAATTCGACGTTCTAGAATCCATCCTCCAACGCATGCCCATCAAGACTCTCGATGGCAAGCCAGGTCTCCTAGCCACTTTTACCCTTGGAGAAACGGTTCTCAATGAGCTTCCAGATCTTACTGCTTCGATCAATAAGTATCAGGATAACTTGCCACTTATGAATGCTCTGTATCGCGATTACAGTTTCTTGGCGAGTGCGTATCTTTTGGAGCCGTGTCATGAGAGATTTCTTAAAGGTGAGGAGTATGGACTGGGAAGACAGACTTTGCCTAGGGTTATTAGTTTGCCGATTAGTAGGTGCGCTGAACTGTATGTATACCTTCTTCACTCTCACCTCACTTATCATGATCACTCATCTCCGATACCTATTTTTCACCAATAAGCATTCACACTACAATCCCAATCTCAATATATACTAATATCACTTCTCGGTAGTGCCGGTTTCAAACCATTCATGGAATATGCCGGCTCTTATGCTCTCTACAACTACCGTCTCGAAGACCCAGCCAAAGGTCTCGAATACGACAACATCCGCCTCATCCGCGCCTTTGAACACGGTCTTGACCACACATCCAGCGAAGCCGGTTTCGTTCTCGTCCATGTTGATATGGTATCCAATTCTGGACCATTGGTCGATGGAGCCGTCAGTGCTTTGGAAGCAGTCGAGAAGCATGATCGTCACATGTTTGAGGGAGGTTTGAGAAAGGTCTTGGGAGCTATGACGAAAGTTAATGCTGTTATGGATGGTATGTCTCTTCATTCCCTTCTCTGACACTTCCTTTACTCTTACATGTTTGAAATTGACACGTCGTTAGGCATGTGGCAGAAATCGAAGCCTGGTGATTACACCTCCTTCAGAACTTTCATCTTTGGTATTACCAGCCAATCGATGTTTCCCCACGGAGTCATCTATGAAGGGGTATCCGAAGAACCTTTAAGTTTCCGTGGTGAATCTGGTGCTAATGATTCTATGGTACATTATCCCTCCCTTCCCCAATAAAAATCCCACCACACACCAAGTAACCTACTAACCCACCCCAGATCCCCCTAATGGACAACCTCCTCCAAATCCCCATGCCCACCACGCCCCTAACCACCATCCTCCAAGACTTCCGCTCCTACCGCCCCGGAAACCACCGCCAATTTCTCGAACACATCCAACAAGCCTCTTCTTCTCTAAACCTCAAATCCTACGCCCTCTCCTCTCCCACCTCCATCGCTCTCTACCTCCTGTGCATAGATCAAGTGCGCGATTTCCGCTGGCGCCACTGGTGCTTCACGCGCGAATATATCCTGAAAAAAACAAGCCACCCCGTTGCAACAGGCGGCTCGCCAATCGTGACGTGGTTGCCTAATCAGTTGGGGGCGGTGCTAGGGGAAATGACGAGGATTTGGAAGGAGGTAGGGAATGGGGGGGAGGGCATGGGCGTGGAGATGGAGCGTGTGAGGGATGTGATGGAGGCGGTGGGGAGACAGAAGGTCCAGTTGGAGAAGGAGGTTGAGAAGTATTGTGTGGAGAGGGGTGTGAATACTGCTTAGGTTACTGTTCGTTTTCTTTGACTTTTTCGTGCGGGATGGGAGGCTGAATTCAGGGTGCTTGGTTGCAGGGACGTGGGTTTGGAAATGCATCCGGGTTTGTGTGCGCGTGTGCGTGCCTGGATTTGTACCCATTGTTTCTCTCATCTAAATGAGGGTAAGAATGGGCGGAGGGAATGTGAAATCGGGAGGTCAGAATGATTTGGGGGACTTTTACTTTTTTCGTTTCCTTTTTCTTTTCCTTCTTCCTACTACTATAGGTAGCAAATTGCCTGGATTTCATAGTAGCTTGCATGGATCCATAGTAAGGTTAACGATGAATATATCAATCAAATAAGTCACGTCACGTCAAGTCAAGTCAAGTTATGTCAAGTTATGTTATGTCATATCACTGAGTCTTATATCTATATGCAATATCGGATATCGTTGTTGCTATTTCATTTCATTTCATCTCATATTGATGAAATTTTGAATGAAGTTTGAAGTTTATATGATATGCATCATACCTCGTACTCAAATCCGTTCAACTTCATATTTCTCGACTCTTGTCATTAGAACGAGGAGTTGGCAAGTAAGTCTTAAGTCTTACATACTCAAGTACTCGAGTACCCCCAAATATCATAGTTCTAGTTCAATTTTCATATCTTGCTAATAATTAGTAGCTAGACTCCAGACTCCAGACTCCAGCTCCAACTCCAATTTACATTTACATTTGGTTTAGATTCAAGGTATGCACATGAATATACTCGAGTTTACACACATGCTACAAACCTCGAAAATCTAATCAATAACTATGAGTATTAATTCTACAACCAATATCTACTACATCTACTACATACACTATATATAGTCCAGGGTTATACACTGTAGAACAGGGAGGGATAAGGGATATAGGTTGTTTTTTAGGCTTTTTAGATATGCATTTAGAACTGAATGCGGATTTGGAGATGGATGTGGAAGTAGATGGAAGGGGGAGGGGAAAAAATGGAAAATTCATTTTGAGGGCTTGGTGGATTAACATTGATGGGTTGAAAGTTAGAAGTTAGCAGTTAAAAGATTTGGTGGGTTTTATAGTGGGTTTTGGTTTTTTTTTGGTTTGATGGATGATGTTTGATGTATAATGGTTTTTTATGTGGATGGATAAATTGGATGGTGGACGGTAGATGATTTGAGTAAATGGATTGGATGAGTAGATGGATTGGATGATCGGATTGTTGGGGATAAATGAGCGGGGACGGATGATTGGGGTTACTGTATTGTGGTCTGTATAGCTGCGTACTGGCAAGTTAGTATGGCAGTAAGTTTAGTAAAATATCACAATAGTTAGTGAGTGAGTATTCACATTCATGTTAAGATTACTGGCGGAACTATACTATCTATAGTAGTGAGATAATAGTCCGTCGTCCGTTTAATGACGGCATTGAGTGAAAGGAATTAGTCGTGAAGAGTAAAGAACCAGAGGAAAAACCTAGCATAAATAAGGTATCGCAAAATAATCACATGAACTCAGTTAGTGTGTGCAAAGCTTATTTCTATCTGAAGCTCGGTAGCATATGCTATTAGGCTCCTAACCTGAGAGGAGATCGTTATCTAATTTTCAGACAGTCTACTCTACTCTAGCCTCCAAAACGCACTTGCATGATATTCATACTGAACGGTCATTCCTTCTTCCCCGCTAAACTATCTCAATAACCCATATACCCATCAACTTTAGTCCTGGGTATCCTATTCCTATCCTTGTTGATCTAGAGACTCTCACATTTCCTTCTCAAATCCGCATTATATTTCTCGAATTAGCCTTTGATAGACTTTCCCATAAGCCAAGGCTGCATGAGGAATGAAATACCACCAGAATAAACTTCCATCTGTGTAAATGTGGTACCCGCAGGGTTCGTCTTACTCGGTTCAATGAGGAAGGAATAAAGACCGGAGACGGTCATGACGGGTGGTCCTTGCCATGCGAATTTATGGGAGGTATTTTCCTAGCGCGGAAAAGGGGAGTTAGAATATCTTTGGGGATTTGAAGATTTGTTTTTTTTTTCATGCTGAGATGATTGTGGGATTGGAATTTGGGAGTATACGGTGATAATAGATTCAAATTCAAAGTCTTCCATGACACAATGGAATTTCTTGCCCACGGCAAGGGGATCGATGGATTCTAATTGGGTGATGCTCTTGATGAGTCCTTTATGCCATTCATATACGGACTATTTTGATTATCTCCTGACAAATCAATGCAACCAACAAGTTACTACCAACACAACAACTAATCTACGATTTCACTTGCTATTGGATGAGCCCCAAAGGCAAGATAATTGCAGAAGTGGCAGGATTGCTTTGTTTGTTTCAATGCAGATTCACGCTCACTGCACTGTGCCCTATGCGGTCTATATTGAGATACTTTTGAGACCTAATAATACTTCGCGTAACAAGTATATATACAGGGTTAAGGTTCATGAGCTCAATCTGGCTCTAATCTTAACCAAGTATGATAAGCTATAAAGTTTGCTAGCCTATCGTAGTAGACTATTTTGTTCTGCCATTTACCAAGTATTCTGCCAGTACAAATTCAACTTAAATAGAGAAGTCGTGGAAGTTGAGGTCACTTACCATTCTTACCACGGATTTGGTCTTTGAACTCAGCTGCAACCTCCAGGGCTATGTTATCCGCATGAAAGTTATTGGTAGGAGTCATTTTTGATATTTTGGGTACAGATCGAATGAGGGAGACAGATATTGTAGCTGGTAGAAAAGCAAGATTGCCTTGTATTCTGAGGTATTTGTAAGAAGTATTTTATTTGACGTTGGAAAGTTCTACCAATGATTCTCGATTGGGTCATCAATATGTTCTGCTTACAAGTATAAAAGCTCAACCAGTCTTGTGTCGGTTCCAAAATCTTTGTCAGGGCAAGCAGCACCATGCCAACGAAGCAGTCCAGCGGCGTCGCAGATATCTGCTAATCGCTAGCAAGTTGATACTTCAAACCATCCAGACATCAGTCTTGGTGCGTAGTTTAAAGGAATACCTTGGCATCAAATCCGACAGGCATAGAGCTTCCTCGAGTAGTATCACAGCACCAATATTCGAAGCTCTCGTCATCTCCGATACTCCATATCTTTCTTCTGCCCATGCTTGACAGGCATGTCATAGTGTATACGAACGATCTGAAATCGTGCCCGAGAAACCTCACATCTGCGGCGCAGATTTTGCACCAGCTACGGAGATTGTAACCATCTAACTACTACCTAATGCAGTCACGTCACAAATATCATCAGCTTTAAGATTACCAACACTCACTCAAGATATCTGCTAGTCTTGGTACGCAAGGGGAAGGGCGTACACCGTCACCATGTGTTTGTGTGACTTTGGATTACCTCACTGTAACATCGGGTCTCGGTAAATACATTCGACAGAAAAATATTACTATACCTGGTACTCGCCGGATTGGAAACGCTGCTATCTAATGTAAAGGCACGGCTTCTTGGTTGAATGCATCTTTTACAACAGAGTGGTCCCTGAAATCTTTTACAATATACTGCAGGGTAGACGATAACAAGGGTTAAAACGACCGTTATTGTTTCTACAAGATATGTCATCACAGATCAACACTACCCCATCGAGCTACCCCACCAAATCGAGTACAGATAATGATCTCCATATTGTGGAATTTGGATGCCACATTTTACATGTGCGAAGGAACAGGGATAATTCACAGTGTTGGTACCTGCTGTGGTTTTGCACACATGCACTGAGATCTTTGTCCATCAAATTACTATACCATTTATAGATTACCCTGTACAGTCTATAATTTATCCAGCACAGAACATTTCTAGAGATTCTGGTGGTGGATCGAATAGTCATGACTGCATACTATGATATCTTTCTGCATGAATAATGATACATATGGCATATACTCAGTGGTTCATTAGTGGCAAAGGATATTTAGACCGTGTTAGTAGATCAATATGCTCATATTTCGTATATTCGTTCCAGATGGAGAGTGTGGTAACTAGTAAGCTGATGGAATTCAATGTGGTGCATTATTTTGTATCATTCTAACTGCCTCTCTTGACATTGTGGTGGCTGCTCCATATTTCCACAATGGGGTAATGAACCTTGGGTGTACATTAGACGATCTTCTAAAGCTAGGTTAGTATTGCTATAAATATCTATCGTTCACAGTTACAGTACAAGGTAACATGCACCTTTTCTTCACCGCGCGTACAATCGAGGGATCAACGATCGAAGCCTTCAAACGATTCATGATTTCTGATTATTTTGAGAAGATCGAGTGTCTGCTACCACCTTTAGAAATTCATACCAAACCAGGTATCACCTCAATCTCGTGAACATGCCACTTCTTCACAATCGAGCCTTGCTTATTGTATACTAAGCCACCGCCGTTAATAGATACTTTTCTGCAAACAGGAGCCCGTATTGGCACCAATGACTCTCTGTACATGTTGTCGCCCCAGCCCAAGATTCGTCCGCTTCACTCACTTAACAAAATCAGCCCCAATACTGTATATAACCAATGCAGCAATGTGGTCTCCAGCATATTGTTTATTGTTATGGTCCGTAGATTTCAGCCTGCGGAGATAAGCAGCGGCGTGCCGGCATACAAACTGTGGACTGCTACACGCTGCTAATCAATCAATGCCCTTGGTAAGCTGAAACTCCCATAGACCCTTTAATCAAACCGTCGGGTCCTTTGAAAAATATAGTCTAGCGTATGCAACTGACCCACTCCAAGGACTTCCTATTTCTGATTGGCCAATCAACCGAGGTCCCCTTATTTTCATCCACCAAGTTGTAAATTGTTCTCAGACTCACCAGAGAGTATGTAGGCGGTGACCTGAAAAGTGTGGGGTGACCAACAGAAACAAGAGATTGTAGGGTCCCATTCTTTTGCCAGAGGTTGACATTAGGCCATGATGAAAATGAATGAGGCGATGGTTATGAGAGTCAGAAGCGCAAGTGTTCCATACAAGAATTGGTATGTAAACCTTTCGCGGCTTCAGACGCAGGAGGAAGAAGACAATGGATACCTTGACAAAAACTAAGGCCCAGATATTCAGTGATTGTGTCATTGTGTCAAACTTCACGGCCTCACCAACATCTATCAAAGCAAGGTATGCAATATGTTGACCGGTTCCATAATGGATCAAGATTATGGATAACGTGTTATTTGAATTTGCTATCAAATCGGCTAGACGATAGGTTAGTATTGAATATTTTAAAACAAGGAGACTGATAATATCGCAGCCGCAATCATCAAAGACTCATCCCACCAAATAGTTGCAAACTTGAATCGAACGAATGTTCTGAGTACGATAATGAATAACGAGGGTACCAAGAATCCAACGATGCATCTCAAGTAGACATTTCAACGATCTACATCCGGCGAAAGAGCGGCGGAACTGGCAGTTGACATGGCTGGCTAAGGTTGTTCAATGATAGGTTGTAGAATTAAGCCCGGAATTGGAACATGTCGGACTCAAAAAGCAAAGTACTGGGCACCAACTCTTTGTACCAATTTGAATGCAGTAAGCAAAATTAGAGTAGTCAGAACTGCGAAAGTCAGATAAACTACAGTATGATGTTGTAAGGATTCAAAACTCGAAGTTCAGGTTGTGTTCAGAGATGAGCACAGTATCTGCTGAAGTGCTAACTTTATTGAACGAAACTTTCCTGCTGCCATTTTCGGCCACAGACAGCACATCGCTCGCCAACAGAGTCTCACAATTAGGAGTAGACCGTATTCACATCGCGGATCTTGCATATACTTTCAGCAATCGGCGATACAAGCTCCCTGCTCGTGGCTTCCTTCTCGCTCGCCAAAGTGAACTAAAGCAGAATTCGAGGATTTCCGAATTACAGACACAAATGGCTTCTCGGAACAATCAGACAGACAGCGCTTTTGCCTTCATTTTCACTGGCCAGGGAGCGCAATGGGCGGGAATGGGAAAAGGTTTAATCGATCAATCTCCCATTGCTCGCTCCAGCATGCAGGAAATGGATGTGGTTCTAAAATGACTGTCAGTATCACACCGTCGATCTTGGAAGGTGTTAGGTTCGCAGCAGTCTCAATGCGATTGTAATAAAATTAGAACCCAGATCACTAGATGCTTTGAGCTGACCAGCTGAAACTAGCCAAATGAATGAAGTCACGCATTCAAAATCAGCCTGCACTGCAATACAAATTGCACTCATCGACACTCTAGTCTGCTGGGGTATTAAACCACAAGGCTTTGTTGGCCATTCTTCAGGTAAGTTAGACGGATCGATTGTATTTATCATTTGCGCTAATAATTAAATTTAGGTGAAATAGCAGCAGTTTATGCTGCGAACTATCTGACATCCGGGCAAGCCATAATTATCGCATATTACCAGGGTCATGTTGTTGGAAAACTGCCCTCCACCGGTCAAATGATGGCCGTAGGAAATTCCGAGGAACAGGGTCTTGTAGAAATCAAAAAGGCGGAGCTTCAAGGCAAACTAGTTATTCTTGTGTCAACTCTCCAGTGAGCATCACTATGAGTGGGGACTCAGACGCGACCGAAACTATATAAGCAAAACTGGGCTCAAGCAATATCGTCCAAAGAAAACTAACCGATGGTAGAGCATATCATTCTCATGATATGAAGACAATTGGACAAGAGTATGAAGACCTTGTCAACAGCTCTCTCGACGTTTCGAAAGCGTTGTCATCTAATCAAGCTGATGTTCTGTTTCTTTCCTCGGTCACCGCTGAAACAAAGGGGTTACCGGCAGATTCAGGATATTGGCGTGTAAATCTTGAATCTCCAGTCGTATTTTCTCAGACTATTCAGGCCCTCCAGAGTGGGCGTAAGCTTCAGCTTATTGAACTGGATCCACATGCAGCTCTCAAACTTCCAGTAATCCAATTCGAATGGAATTGGGAATTAGCGAAGAGTATCTACCTTATTATAGTGCATTGTGCGAGGGTGAAGATTCCTCGATGAGCTACTCATGGAAAACTCTTCCTCAGCGGTGCAGATATATCATTTTAAAAGATCAACTTGATACATTTCACTGAACGCCCAAAGGACTCGAAGACCGTCGGAGTCATGGTCAAAGATCTACCACCATACCCTTGGACATACGATCAAGTTTTATGGAAGGAGAGCCGTGCTAGTCTTGAATTTCGGCAAAGGAAATTCTCACGCCACGAGCTTCTTGGATCGCTTATTACAGGTGATAACCCGGTAAATCTTTCGTGGAGAAATTTATTGAACGTCAAGGATGTGCCATGGCTCGAAGATCACAAGTTTGGTCAAACGATCGTTTTCCCCGCTGCCGCATTCGTGGGGATGGCTATCGAGGCTAAATCTCAAGTTCATGGAAAGACATCTGAAGGTACACGAATTCATTGAACTAAAGCACTTTAAGATTCTTGCTGCACTCACGCTCTCCGCAAATGCCACTAAAATACAGGCCACCTTTACTGAAGGTTCCATGGAGCCAAGTGCGATCCGCAACTGGTATAGGAAGTTGATCAAAGAGGGTCTCAACTTTGGTGCTGGGTTTCAATCTATCAAAAAACCTCAGATTCATTGTGGGAAAACATGTGATCGAAGATAAAGATTTCAAGAAAAGTCTTGGCGCTTTAGACTTTATCACGCATAAAAATCCCACGCTGAGAATACTTGAACTTGGTGCTGGTCAACACCATGCCGACTTTACCGATGTCTATCTAGACATCCTGCGAGATTCGACAGAATTTTCTCGCCACAGTTCTTTTACTACTGGTAAACTAATTGAAGGCGATATACCCATTTTCAAACGGCCGACGACTAGTACAGAGGTTGAGAAATGGGCACCATATATATCCGAGGATCATTTTGACTTGGTTATCCTAACGGAGGTATAGCAGCTTTCTCTTTTCAATTTGACTCCTTCCGTCTAACATCCTGATTAGGCCCAAAACTCCGACTCTACACTTGGTAGCCGACTTGAGATCATTGCTCGACTGTCATCTCCTAGCGGCCTTGTAGTTGCTCGTTCGCAAACCACTATCACATCATTACACACTGTCAATGATTTTGACGTTACAAGTTGCAAATTAAAACAAGAAGGTTACCTGATTTTAGCTAAAAAGCATTCGAAAGAAAGTTCGAAGAATGTTTCAGTTATTTCCAACATAATTTTGGTATGTTTGTGCAGTTCCAATCACTACTATAGTTTTACTTTCTTCCGTTTCCCTTGAAGCTCATCTCTAACCTTGGATCATCATAGGCTGAGGACAAACCCAGTGATTTAGGTGAAATCATTACGGAAGCTTTCAAAGGTCTTCTTGTCTCGGTTCCAGTTACACACATGATTCTATCCGAGATCAATTCAGCCATTATCGCATCAAATGCTGCTATCATTGTGATAGCAGAAAAACAGAAGAATCTGTTTTCAACTGTAGGTAATACAGAAATGAAAGCACTGAAGATTATTACTAATAAGGCTGCATACAAACCTCGTGTTGATCACAAGTATGGAAATACTCAATTACAAAAATCCAAACATGGCATTTTTAAATAGCCTCTCGAGAGTTCTCATGCTAGAACAGCCATAGTTGAAGTTCTTTACCTTGGACATCGATGATAACACCCCCGTTACTAGAACAACACAGAATATACTTGATATTCTTGCTCAAAAAGAAGGTTCACTGGACTTTGAGTTTGTCCAACAAAATGGCGTTATTCATGTTAGTAGATTTGTTTCTGACGAGCGTCTGAACACAAATTTCAGCAAAAGCAGGGGAAAATGCTACCTGTGGATTGGAATACAGTGGATTTATCAAATCCATCGGCTGTACAGTTCAAACTGTAGCAGCCGGTGTGGTAGTCATGGCATCACATTATTTCAAGCTAGTGGAACGAGTACCTCATTGGGCGTGTGTAAAGATGGAAAAGGGTGAAGATTTCAACACTGTCTCAACGTTGCCTGTGGCATTTTCTACAGCGATCTATGCTCTTCATGATCGAGCGCGAATACAACCTCGAGAGGTATGTTGTATTTACAAGCTCTGTAGTGTTAGCTAATATTCTGTAGACAGTTCTCAATCACTCTGGTGCTGGTGGCTTAGGCATCACAGCTATTCAGAATGCAAAGTTGGCTGGTGCAGCGGTACGTTTATCAATCCAATTTCAGAGTCAAGTTTTAAATTTGAATAGATTTTTACCACAGTTGGGAGTCATGACAAGCGCGAGTATTTGATCGAAACTTTTGGCATCAACCCTTCACACATTTTCAACTCGCGTGACTCATCCTTGGGGGTGGATTCTTAAAGTTACTGATGACCGAGGTGTTGATGACATTCTCAATTCTCTCACGGGAAACCTTTTGCACGATAGTTGGCGTGTATGCGCTGACTTTGGCCTATTCGTCGAAGTGGGTAAAAGGAATATAGTTGATGCTGGAACCTGGACATGAAGCTATTTTTGAGGAACGGTACCTTTACCGCATTCGATTTAACAGGTTTATATAATAGCAAGAACTCTGTTATACGTATTTGGGCCAGGTAAAATGAAAAATACCCTTTTGTTGGTAGACCACGTTCTGATTCGAGCTCTCAGACTTCTGAAGGACGTCCTAAAGCTGTACCGCGAAGGTCGCATACAGGCGATTAGCCCTCTCAGGAATTTTGATGTCTCTGAAATAACAGATGCCTTCCGACACTTTGCATCAAAGGATTAGATGGGAAAGATTTTCGTTTGAGAACTCAGAATCCCGCATAAAGGTAAATCTCGGAAATCATGCCATGAACCTTACGCAACCGTCTGGGATATTGACATCATTCTGCACGTAACGCAAGAAATCGACTTCATTTGCTGGATGAATAAAAACCCTACTTCGGCTTCGCTCTCTCGTCATCAGATCGTCCAATCAAGCGATGAGCAAATGATGGAACATGATTCAGGCATTGTGAAGATGTTCGTTTTATCCTAGGATTACCATCTGAATTAGTGTCATGAACCTATTGATTGCTCCATCAAGTCTGCACCAGATAGTCGGGCTCTACATAACCGAAAGTACAAGCGGGAATTGATACATACCAATATCATCTTTCAATGAAGTTATCAAAGGAAATAGAATCTTCAGAAAGAAATGGACCAAGAAAAACCATTTTCCATTTTCAATACTTACAAGATTTTTTATGTCTGGAAACGAATCACACAATCAATAGTCATATCCCAGAACACTATCTATCCCCCATTATTGTCCATTATTTTACTGGCGTAGAGCTCGGGATGATGGCTATATTACAAAAGTTCGAGAGAATGGCACCCGATTTGTATATTGGGATTATGGTGTCAATATTCGAAGTATTGTCGCCATCCCATAGCTATGCCGAGCAATCAGATTGTTTAAGTCGTTAACTTATGTATATCAGTCGGCTCTTTCAAATTTCATTCCATTAACGTCGAAAAGTCTACTCGAGTACCAATTCTTACCAAATAATACATACCAAACTTTTCTCGCTTCAATTCTTCGAACCAAAATGACTTCCTCATTAACAGAGGCTATCTCCGAAACCGCTGAACATATTCACGAGAAACTCGTACCTCATTCATTATACAGTCCCGCCAGTGATCGAGCGACAGTTCAAGAAGCATTAAGCACTGAAGAACCTGCACCTCCTGTACAAGTTCTCAATGCTCCAGCTTCAGAACAACATCGGGAGCCATTGAAGCTTAGCGGTGTTCTCGACCGCTTCGAAAGTTTCGACGTCACTCCAGTCATCGGTCGTGAATACGTTGATGTTAATCTTGCTGGATGGCTCAAAGCTCCCAATTCGGATGAATTACTTCGGAATCTAGCAATCACAAGTAATCCACGATATTATGAATCTTACTTATAATCCAGTATCTCAACGGGGCGTAGTATTCTTTCGTAAACAAGACGATGTAACCAATGATCTTCAAAAGGAGCTCGTACAACGTCTCTCTCGGCGAGCTTTCGGGCAAGCCTTCAAGCTAGTAGGTTCATTTTGTTATTTGATCACACCACATATATGAACAACACTTACCACCAACCTCAGCACATCCATCCCGTCTCCAACTCCGGTCGAGAGTTCGGCGGAAAAGACGATGAAATAAGTGTGATATCCTCGATCCAAGACAAAAAGATCTACAACCAAAATTTCGAGCTTAAGACTCGTCAAAGCGGCAAAGAAGTCTGGCACTCCGATATCACATTTGAACCCGTTCCATCTGATTATGCTCTGCTCTGACTGACCGAGCTTCCCAAAACCGGAGATGATACACTCTGGGCTTCTGGATATGAAGTATACGATCGTATCTCAAGACTTGTTCAGAAGTTTCTGGAGACATTGACTGCTACATATGCGCAGCCTGGATTTAAAGAAGCGGCTGATAAAAATGGATTTAAGCTTTATTCGGCCGAACGAGGTGCACCAGAGAATGTGGGCGAGAAATTGGAAGCTGTCCATCCAGTTGTGAGGACAAATCCGGTTACTGGTGTATGTGATGTTCTCTCTTCCAAATTTAGTGGGACAAAACTAATATCATTGACTCAAGTGGAAATCGATTTTCGCACTTGGCCATCAGTTTCTCACATAAATGATCCCACGGCTGTGGAAAGTGATGCTTTGCTGGCATGGTTCTTGAGACTTGTGGTTGATAACCATGACCTCCAAGTGAGACATCGTTGGGAAAATGTTAATGATGCTATTTGAGATAACAGGTCGAATGTATGTTTGCTGACGTTTTTTGCTTATGTTCTTCGCTTTTCCTCTTTTATTTTCGCACCCCATGACCTTACAGCCACTGAAGTTTCTTTCCACTTTTACTCACTACAAACATGTGCATAAAAAAACTGGTGATTGGAATTATTTCAATCCTCAAACTAACATGTTGTCGATAAAGTACCACGTCGCTACTCCTGATTATATAAATCAAGGTTTGGGTGAGAGGGCCGGTCAAAGAGCTATGATTTTGGGCGAGGGACCGTATTTTGATACAGAGAGTACGGGAAGAAGAGAAGGGCTGGAAAAGGTTCAATGATCCAAGGGTTCAGAATAAGATTCTTTGAGTAATTCAAATCATTTGAGAATATCAACTAGGGAACAAGAGAGTCATCTATAAAATTCAGTTCGTTTGAAAGGTTCCATCGATCACTTGAAGAAGAAAACAAAAAGTATTAAAGGTTTGCATATCAAAAAGTGAATTCTTAGAAATATGAAATAAATTTGCCTAAAAGACTCCGGCCTGAAATAGACTGCCATGAATGCCTCTTTCAGAAGACTTAGCAATATTTTCTACAACGGCATTTGCTAAGCAACTATACTGGATCAACCGGTTAATTGGACCACACATAGAACAAGAAGAGTGACGTAGTTATTTTGGAGGTCGAGAGCTACGTTAGAAATTATGTAGAGTGTGAATCAGATTATATACTCGAGTGTGCGGGCCGGCGAGCTACTTTATCGGAGAAACCATTGATAAGGGCAGGAGCGATAGCTTGATGATTCGAGGATCTGGAGTTCTTTGTGGGTATTTGGAGGTAAAGAGGATGGGTGATTCACCACATAGGTTGTGACGGTCAAATGTACTTGGTTGCTGGAAGTGTGTAGGTTTTTAGCCATGGTTTTGAGAGTGGGGAAATATATCTAAGTTGTGAAGGGGAGAAGAAGCGGGTAATAGAGGTGATTAAGATGGGAGATCTCTTTTCTCATTGAGAGAATGATGTATAGGGGTCATCTTGTTGCTCAGAAATGTCATTTTCGTCAGGACAATCACTTTCCTCGTTTTAGATCTAGTCCTCGGTCTGTTGCTTGGAATTATTTGAGATTTTTTATCGTGAACTGCATGTCCATTGGACCGCTCGTCAGTATTTACCTTTTGAACCTATTCGATGGCATTTTATACAACTTCAAAACAAATACCGCAACAGTGCTGCGGTATTATGATACTTGTGTTATGTAATCCGTTTCTGTGGTGGTTTCGCTGACTGGATCATCGCGATTATGTTAGCACTAGGCAAGAATGCCTCTCTCGGTTCCCTTTGTGGTCTACCCATTACGCTATTTCACATGATTTCATCATTTAGATTTCCGTCTTACTGACAAAATATACATTTGAAGATTTACTCATCTATGAGATCATCTACATGAGATTAACTTTTAGAGCTTCTTCATCCTCCACCCAAAGTACTCAAAAGCACCACTTTCTCCCCCAAGTACCTCCATTTCTGTTTCCCAAATACCTTCTCTCAAAAGTAATGGCTTCATGAAATGTGGCTGGCGGTATGTGATGTATAACCATTGACCTCCTGATTTGAGCACTCTAGCAACCTCATCGACATAGCGACCAACATTTTCTCTAACCTCTTGAGGAGGATCCCACATCGATCCATGAATCATCGCATCGACTACGATACAGAATTCAAGTCAGTACAAACTCGGAAGGCTTGTCATATCTTAATGTTCGAGATATTGAAGGACTAAGAAAAACAAAAATAGCAACTCACGAGTTCCCTTGTCAATAGCAACATCCATTTCTCCATCTTCCAACTTCAGGTCTCTCACATCCATTACCATCCACGTGGTGGTCAAATGTGAATATTTCTCACTCATTCTCTGAATGACTACTTCAGAGAAATCAACTGATATCTGGTTTTCATATCCGATAGTATGAAGATCGTGTGTCAATGTCTAATCTCGTTAATTTTGCTCTCAGATCCTCCACATTTATCCTCTTTTCCATTTGAACAATTTGTCAGATGGGGCCGTGGGACAGATCGAGAACATACACTATTTCCACACCCTAAATGCAACACCCTTGCTCCCTTGTCTTCTGCTCCCTTCCCTTCCGCATTTGGCAAGTGCTTTTCAAAAAATGGTTTTAAAGACTGGTAATCTTTGAACCACTCAAAACTCTCAATTTCTTTCTTTGCGGCCACATTCTCTTCCCTTTCATTCTCATCGTGAATGATCTCATCTGTCTCCGGGTCAAACTTTCCTGCGTATCTATTGTCCCAATATGAAGGATGAGAAAGCTCTTGAAGGGATTTACTGCCGGACATCTTGGCAACGACGACTTTCACAATTACTATGACTTCTTTTTGTAATACACAGAGTAGGTCACTGTGTGTTTCGTATCCTACGATGATGATATACCCCTGAAATGGTAATCGCAATTTATACAAATAATATCATTAACTTGGAGAAAAAACCCCAAAAAAATTTCTAAAAGCTAGTCGAGCTAGAAGTGGGGAGGACCTGACTGGCCCATCCATGTAACAGGGGCCAATGGAGGTGGAGAAGCTCAGAGACATAGGTGGGTCGAGCTACTAGTAAGTTGTAACCGAACTAGCTAAAGGGGCGAACTGCTTGCCGAAAAAGGATGAATTCCGATTTCTGCTGGACATCAAAGGGGAAGGTTGGTGGTGAACATTCGATTTACATCATCTCAAGGGTCAGAAATCCTACACACATGGCAATTCTCAATGTAAAACGATGGAGCAAAAAAAGGATGGCGTACGCCACTTGAAAAGTATTTCGAGTTGAGTGAAAAATTGTTTTATGGAATCGAGCATTGCTACTTGCTTCGAGGGAAGTTCTTTGTGTTATATTAGATTTTGATCATGGGAAGAAGTTTCATCCTGATAAGTTGCATTTTATTCTTCATCAGCACCTGAGCATCAATGAATGAATAAGCAATGCCTATGTTTCTTCCAATAACAGCTTAATTTCCATCCAAGGGAGTTTATACTCGCATAGAGATACACTCTTTCATGCTGAAGTGATCTTATAGTTGCTTCGCCTAATTCTGAATATAGATGGTGATTTTGAGGATAAACAATTGCTCTGCGTCACCAGGGAAGAACAATCTAGGGTCATTATTGATTTTCTAGCACTGATCAGTCTGACTCAATCTAATAATTTCACTACCGGTATGAGATGTTTTCTTTCGCCGGAGAATTTTCCTCTACTGTAAGATGCTTATGCTGTATTCCCGAAGTCAAGGCCTCAGAATCGATGATGATAAACCAAGGTCCACATGTGGTTTTCGAACCAGACACACATCGTGCGAATTTTTCGACAGCAAAAGTGGAAGATAGTGGGATGTGCGAGAAACGGTTGATGTTCTTGGTCTTTTGAGATACTATGTGTGGGAACAGAGTCATATTGCAAATATGGAGAGGAGCGTTGCCAAATTTCGAGAGCTTCGGTATGGTCTATGGTATGTTGATTTCCATGTTTTTGTCTTATTAAGTGGGAAGAACGTTATGCTACCCGGAAAATGCTTGAGAAGCCGTTGGGGAGAGGCAGAGATATGCTAAATTGGGGTCAGATTAATGCATAGCTCATTTTAGCAAGAAGGGGAGGAAGATGATTCAATGTACAGTTGGAGAGGAATGGGCTGGAGATCGATACCGGGAGTGACAACGAGATAGGATGAGAAAGCCGCGCAAAGAATCTTTATTACTTTTCAAACCAGGACATTATCCAAGTAAGCAATGCATGATCGATTACAACACTAAGCATCCGTATAAGGAGCTATATCGGTGAGGCGATTGACAATGTTACTGTTGTGTTTGCGTGAATCCAGACTTTTCATCTTGAGGTTGAAGTGATGAGACTGTAGATTTCCAAATCACAGAATATGGAAACTTAGGGTTCGATTCTCCCTCAAGTAGGATAGGAACTCCGGTAGGATCACGTATCAAACTTGGAATTACCTCATTCGTCTACGAGTAATCCTCCCTTTCAAGCAAGTGTACATCTGTCAGGCACACACTAATGGGCAAGGAAAGAGTAAGTCTGACTATTTTCCACGGATAAATGATTATCAATATGGATGACACATGGTATTATTTGGCCATCAATTCGTGGCTTCTACATCTGGCATTTACTCGTACATCATGATAATGAATAACCTTGCGGAGCGGAAGTGATAGTAGAAGATTTTCTTTCGATCTTACAACTAATAAGTAGCAGAAGACGAAGCTTAGATAGGGTAAGTGCGACGAAGGAGATAGACATAAGTACCGGTATGATATGATCTTTGTTGTTGCCAATGATACCCAATCATGATCGAAAATACCTATCGATGACCATTTACATTTACATGACTTGAACACAGGGACTATCAAGTTTGTTTGGAATAAAACAAAACATTTGGAAAATCTTGTGATGGGAGTTTGAAACAAGGTGATATTACGCTTATTGATTCTTAACCTAATAGACCAGATCTAGGATATATCAACATCCTTGCTATCGTTTAAAGTGCTAATCGTTTGAGTACCATATCTAAGATCATCACGAAGTAGCTACAAGATGAAAACCAACATCTATTTCAAGATCAATATCAAGCAATACTAGTACTACTAGTACTACCCACAGCCGACATCTTCAATGATGTAGTTATCCTCTCTCTCCGCCGATTCCTCTCCATTGTTCCCTTAAATGGCAACCGGAATTGATATTCAACCCCATCCCGACTCAACTTAAAACTACAGACGACTTATTATCCCCTTCTCGCTTTCAACGCGACTTTTACCAATTTGACTGGGGTTCATTAGCTTGCAATTCCTGTCGCCATGGCTGAACCCATTTTTCGTAAATATTACTACTGATCTCAAGGACTACAAACCAGTAGGTCATGGCATGGCTGACGATCCAAATACTCAAGCAAGGAAACGGAGCACTTACCACGCTGCTCTTGCATTTTGTCAGCATCGACTCTATTCCCATCAACGAGCAATTTCCTCTTCAAGAAGCCACATGCATCGTCAACTATTTCTCGCACGTTCGAATATCCGCATGTGCCTCGATTTATCCCGTCGAGAGGCTTGCACCGGGTACAACTATAGGAGACTGCGGATTGTGGGTAGTGATATGTGCGTTTGGCAAGTTGGCGGCGGCCCGTAATGGTTGGACTCGTGGATGGGAGATAATGCTATCTGAGACCGAGACCGTATACTAGTTATTTCCGAAGACAACTATGTTTGTTAGACAGGAGCTACTTAGTTCTAATGAGCTGATTGTGGTGGGAATGGAGAGGTATCAATTTGAGGTTTTCATGACACCTTTGCCAGTAGGCTAGAGCAAATGCTGATTTTTGAAGGGATGAGGTATTGTTAAAAGGAAGCTGGAGTTAGGCCCTACCGGTATTCTATCTTAGTCTTTTATGGCCAGACTCGCACCAGGTAGGCGAAGCAGAAATATCAAATAGTTGCTGAAGCAAAACTTAAATCAATAGAAGAACAATCATGAAATTACAACTCTCGTACGTTTGTTCTTCTTTGCTCGAAATTCGAGATCCAAAATAGATTTGATTGGAATCCAACCAAAGCATCAGACAGATTTCCTTTACAAAAATGTCCGAAGCCAAAACATGGTGACAACATCGTACGTAGTGTAGTATTCAACAAGGTCTCTTTTCACCATGTTAATACTGAGTTGAGATTTACATGACGTTCACAGAGGAACATAATATAAAATCTGGCTGGCCTTTACCATCTGGGGAGTGAGCAGAGACTCCAATCAAACATAGTCTGAACGGCACCAAAACATCGATGCTTCACACCAATCGAGGATATATTCGTCCCATAATGACCTGAATGAGCCTTTAATATTCCAATGACTTGTACGATTTTCTCTCCTCTTTTGTATTTGGGAAGGATTGTATGTAAAGAGATAATGAAAGTAAGATGAGGGCAAGAAAGATAATGCGAATGAGCCGGCGAAGTAGAGAAGTGATTCCGAACAATCAATACGAGGACTTGACCAATAGGGACTGAGGGGTAATTCTCGCTATGCGATGGCATTTACCCCTTTACAGTACCTACAAGATTTGACACCGCATCACTCAACATGAATGTCCCATTTCTCAACCGAAAGAACAACAAAGCAATGCAATTGACTAATTGAATGACCACACTAACAATACGAATAAGATTGACCGTTAGCCACAGAATAACCTTATAATTCGTATCACAAAAACAACAGTACGGTGCTAACCCTATGGTTTTAGCGCCTCGGCATCCCCGTGACTCCTTTATTCGGATATTCGGAGAATAGCTGTGCGTTATTTAGAGTTCTGTATTTAATGGGTCTACCCCTATTAGTGTTATACGGGGAGTGGAGCGATGGAGGCAAAAAGGGGCTATGTAGGTGGTGTGGCTTGGTGGAATATTCTTTAGGGAATCTTTTTACTGCACTTACCTAGCACTTACCTTGTTTTGTGTATCTTCAATATTTATTTGTGTAATTACCAGTACCGGTAGAGTGCTACTCGGATAAAGTGTAGAAGTTCCTGATCTGTTCCTTGTATTATTATATAATACAATTGGTGGGGAACGGGTAGCAACAGGGGAAGCGGATCTAGACGGATAACCTTATACTGTAGTATTACTCGTATAACGGCACAAAGATTTTGCGGGGGTAATCAAGCGTAGGTAATAACCTTACCCAGTTAATCTAATCCTCGTAGTAGAGTACCGGTAGTAAATTCACACTCGAATTATTATCCACCGATATCTACATTTTAACCAAATGTCACATAGAGCACATATACAAAACATCTAAAATAAGAACACATCTAACCAAATCCCTAGCCATCAATACATACGATCATGATTTCGCCGAGGAAAACGCATTTCTAGTGGAAGTGGAGCACGAACAACAATTAGGGAATACGGATAGCATCATACTAGAACCCTAACCTTTACACCCATGACGTTTAACTGGTCAAGGCCAAGAAACCAATTATGAGCCAACAAGCACCGCACCGCTGAATACGAGGCCGAAAAATACCCTTCTCCACAAATCGTCATTAACTTGATTTTTGGGTTTGATTTTGATTTTGTGAACAGTGCTGTGCAGCAGTGCAAGTGTAATGCATCTCGTATCCAAAGACATGCGATGTAAATTGCCATGTAGTAAGTATAAAGAGGACGTGAATCCTGCCATTGTAGATAAATTTTATATCACCACCATCACTCACTCACATTACATCTTCACTCACTCTCAATCAAACTCACACACTCGCTATATATCTACCACTTTCTCACCGAAATCAATCAATAATATAATCCAAACCGCCAACATGCAATTTACTACCGCTATTATCTCCGCCATCACCATGGCCGTCGCATCTGCTTCCGTCATCGGAACGCAACGCTACGTTACCTTCAAGGTCTCCGATTTCAGCGCCGGCTGTGTCGCACACAGTTCGCAGTGTCTGTAAGTAGCATCCATATCCATCCATCCTGCTCTTCCCATCCCCTTCCATTCCTTCCTTTCCCCCCAAACCAAACCAAACCCCACCCATCTCCCACCTTCTAACATCTCCTCCTCCTTAGCTACTCCTTCACTGTCATCCAACCCGGAACCATGGAAACCACCGGTGTCAAATGCACCGCGCTCGTCGGATCCATCGATGGAACCCTCCCCAACATCGCTCAATGGCAAGGGTCCTGCGGTGACGAATCATCCCGAACATTCTGGATCACGCGCGAGGATGCTGGCTTGGAATTTTACGTCTCGCAGCCGGTTTCCCCAGCTTCGAACACCACTGCGTCTTACTTGATCCCTAACAGTGAATTGGTTCTTACACCAAACACTATTGGTACCACTCAAAGTTACACTGGTCCATCTGATTTGGATTTGTACCAGTACTGAGTAGATAGAAGTTGCTTATCTGGCCTTTGTGTTGGATAGTGTAGTTGGAGGAGAGGGGAAGAGTTAGTTGGTATGGTGTTGTGTGGTGTAGTGTAGAGTAGAGAGAGAGGAGATTGGGGATGGGGATGGGGAAGGGAAAGCGTACGAGAATGATGTGTAAATAGGAGCGAAAAAGGAGAATTGGGATATTGATAGATGATACCTTATTAATATAATATATTTATCGCCCACTTTTCATGACTTTTATATGATTGATCTTTCAACACTGTGTTTTGCAGATCATCAACCTAAGAATATCCTTTCCGAACCGATTGTATGCTTGTTTCAAATCGAGTAAAGAACAGCCTTAGACCTACGAGTTATGATGGCCTTACAAGTCTATTAATATATTGATCGCCCACCTTTCACAACTTTCATGACTCTCATGACTTTTATAACTTCCACGTTATTAATCCTCTCAACACCCGTGATATACTAATCCTCACTTCACACTTCACTCTTCCATCTTAACTCTTCCATCTTAACTATTCCATCTTAACTCCAAGAATAAACATTCAAGCTTCGAAACCAACTACAAACTCACCACACCACACCACACCACACCACAAACCAACCTAAGACCACTCACTTTGCATATCCCAGTCCAGACAGTCCAGGCAGCGTGAAATAGACATAACCATAGACCTATCTAAGACAGCACCTTCTCAACACTCCATCAGTCTGTCTACCTACCTATTCATACCATACCACCCACCCTAAAATATAACATAACATAGAAAGTCGAACGCAAAACCAATACCAATACCAAGTATACCTACCTACTCGTACTTCATTCATTCAGTATCCTTCATTCCTTCCAACCATAGCCAACAGCCAGGACAAAAACATACGCTGCAGCGCAAACCAAATCAATCAATCACACAAGTACCTACTAAATAAGGGAAATGTCATGTAAAAAGCTCATATCCATATTCATATCCATATCCATCTCCAAACCATCAACCCATCAACACCACTCCCCCACCGCAATGCCCTCCCCTCTCCTCCCCTCCCCTCCACAAAACCATACATAAATTAATTCCCGACATCGCATCCCAAAGATACAATATTTCAGCAAAAGATCCCTCATACCCTCTTTACCTCATTCACCCCCTTATACTCACATCCCCTCTTATACACACTCACATTCCATTCCATTCCCTCCTACCCCCTCAAGAATTCCCTAAAAGGAAGATCCACTTAAACCATCTCCCTACTCCCATCCCATTCCATATCGACATATAATATGTAATATATATATCAACCAAATAAAAGCATGTTACTTGTATTGCAACAACTATCTGTTCTCCATGGTTAAAGTAAGTTTCCGTTTGCTGGGATATGATATTGTGATGCATGCACGTAACATATCATCGAAGAAGGGCTTGCTTGTCAAGAGAGTGAGTAAAGGAGTTAAAAAAGTGTCCTATGGCTGATTATAATAATTCACCCAACATAGGTAATAGTCCTTGAATATTCCCTTGAAAGATGTTATATCATCCCCCCGTGTGCCGACAAGCTTCCCGATGTGCTCATATAAGAAAGTGCCCCAGCCGTAACCGTATCCATTGTTCTCCGATCCTTCAACCATAAATTAGATAGCCATCTTATCCAGAATCTTCAAAACGCCTTTCCCCCTATTTTCTCCATCGTCTAGCTCTTCGATTAATTTCTTGACTCTCTCCCCCAATGTGTTTAGGACCTTTCGACAATATTCGAAACTACCGGTTTGTTCCATGTATGCTACTGCATACTTCTTCACCTGTTCATCATCCGGCTTTTGTTTGAGAATGTTGAGAAGAACGAGATTGTCCGGCGCAGCGCGAATACTATGGATAATTGGGAACGAAAATTTCCCTTCTGTCAAATCCTCACATAGTCCTTTATTTTGCGAGTATTCCGGCGAGGAAAGATTCTGATAGTCATCCCGAATTTGGAATATTATTCCGATGAGGTTAACTAATGGTACACAATCCCTAGACAGGGGTTAACATGGTTGTCGATCCAGTGGGGGCGGGGTATTTACCTTGAGGTTTTACTCTCTGCTTGCATGAGCTTAACAGCCAGTCTGAAAAGACCTCCAGTTTTATTGCCAACCATTTCCAAATAATCGTCTTCGGTGGGACAAGTCAAACTATCTCTCCAAAATAAGTCCATACCCTGACCCCTATGAAGGTTCAACAACTCTTCCGTGTAAATCGTGATAGCTTGTGGATTGTTGAGCTTCATGAGCTCTTGTAATGCGCAGAAGTATACATAATTCGCAGAATTAATCGTTTGTGCTGTGCCAAAGATGCTATGTGCGACAGGTAACCCGCGTCGCAGTAATGACGAATCTTCGACGTCATCCACGAGCAATGATGCTGTGTGCAACATTCCCACCACTTTGGTAATGACCTCCAAACTCTCCGGTGGTACCTCCAACCATTCATTGAACGCCGCAATCAATTGTTTCCTAATATCCTTTCCCGGATGTGCCTCCAAATAATCGTATGGTCCGAACAATATCTTCTCCTTTTCTGGAGTCCAAGAACTCTTTCCATGAAATGCCATGTCATTTTTGGTGTATTTATTTGAATCTGGAGCAGAACCTCCATGGATAGAAGGATTCATGGTCCCAGAAGATTGTGATGTATGCATACTATTTCTCCGACTTATCCAATCCCCTTCAGAAACAGGACGCAGAACGGATTTCGAGACTGTATGATTGATGTTGTTTTGACCGGTGGAGGAGGTTCGCGGAGGAATAGCGTTTGGAGAAGGAAAGTTTTCGGAAACCATGATGGAAGGATCTCTATTTGAATGATTCCTCTGAAACATCTGACCCTACTTATTAGAAATATTGTATTCACTTGGAATTAATTGTATGGTGGAGAGAGCAAGGTTATTGATGTGATTGATGCGTAACCTTGCATGAATTTGGGGCTTTGAAGAAGTGAACTCAATGAAGCTGTCTATAACACATCAACATGCCAACTGGTTTTAGTAAGATATGTCTTGGTTTTCTATCGAGTAGATCGATCCAATTGTGATAATAGCATATCTGCAGTCAGCAAAATGTAACCTTTGATTCCTGCTTTTACCCCATGTTTAACGTCACCACATTTTGGTTGTGCAAAAACGGGCCGGTGACTATTGAATTCAGGCTTTCTTCACGTGTCAACAATTAGGTGTATGGATGTGGTCAATTGAAGCTGAAGATAGGTATACTGATAAACATATTGATAGAGATGAGGCCAGTGAGTGATTTCAAAGAGTCGTCTGGTCTGGGGGCCTTAATACATATTAATAAGTATATAAATATAAATATCAAAGGATAGAATGATTTGGTTTCATATAGATAGATTTATTATACTATTCCCAAAATTGGTCTCAATTATTTTCACCGCCTTATTTCGTACAGGATACAGGATCTGCCTGCCACTAATGCCGCAAGCTACCTACCGCTTTCCCTTCCTTCGCTTGAATTCGTCGCCCGGAGAACCATGTTATCTTGAAACCCCATCCACTACAAGTACACCAAAATATTAAATCTACCTTTCAGCTGTTGTCTCTCACGAAACCCTTAACAAGATAATTTCTTTTTCTATACGTTCTCTTCATTTTCCTGTATTAACATTCAATTCTACATTAGCCTTCTTTTCAATTGTACAGTTAAATCCATTTTGCGAAATCTGCGCAAGCTTTCAAATTCAAGAAACAAAATCTCATTCATTCAGCCAGCGCATCGCATCGTATCGTATCGTATCGCATCGCATCCAAAAACAAAATAAACAATGGAAGCATTACTTTCTCTATCATTCGACAATCTTTCTTCTTACGATGCTTCAAAGATTCGAAAAGGTCTTCGACAGGTCGAAGGACTATTAGCACAAATTTGTCTATCCAATTCTCCAAAATCCAATGCCGATAAGCGCCGTTCAGTTATTGACCCGGGAAAAGAGCCACCTCCACGAAAAGCTCTCAGCGAACTACCTAACGATGCCGCATTTCGAGAGTTCTTTAGGTTACAGGAGGGATTCGAATGGAATGTTGCAATGCGGTTGGTTACATGTTTGGATAGATTGATGGGGAAGAGTGATGATGGGCAGAGTGATACGTTGATCATCCAGACATTAGAATTGATACAGGGTGTTCTTTTGTTACATCCTCCATCTAGGAGTTTGTTTTCCAGAGAATTATATATGAATGTGCGTATCTTCGAGTCTCTAAGCCCGCATACATACTATACTAATCATACGTAGCATCTGCTCGATCTCCTTGAACCCGTCAATTGTCCTGCAATCCAATCTGCAACCCTTCTCACTCTCGTCTGCTCACTTATTGACACACCCAAAAATACCCGCACATTCGAAACTCTCGATGGTCTCTTGACTATTACCTCCATATTCAAATCTCGAGAAACAAGCCGCGAAGTAAAGCTCAAGCTAGTCGAGTTCTTGTACTTCTATCTTATGCCCGAGACCTCATCAATCCCTTCAGCAACCACATCAAATTCGCTAGCATTATTGCAGCGAAGTCCAAGCAAAATCCCTGTTGCATCCAATGGTCGGGAAGAGGCAGGGAGAAGAAGGGCACAGAGCGAAAGCGAACATACAAAAACTTTGGAGGAAAAACAGGAGCTTTTGGGGAGATATCTTCATAATGTTGATGATTTGGTGGCAGATCTCCGGGAGAGCCATCCATTTGGGGGGACTGTCGGTAGTTGATAGACGACAATGGAGAAATTCTTAACGAGGGCTTGTGAAGGGGTGGAATTGATTGAAGCACGCATTACGGTTTTCATACACATCTAAGGCACGCATGTCACGCATGAATGGGAGTTTCTGACTTACAATTGGGGCGTTGGAGGTATTCTGCTTTGGATTCATTTTTTTTCCAGGTAAAATCAATCGGTTTACTCTATCCATAGCAGCACTGCAAAGTTCGCTTGAGACGAAGGGAGTTATTTCACATGTTCATATTCATATTCATAATGTATCAATCAATCATCCAAATATCAAAGCCAAACCAGAAACAGAAATCAAATCCTTCATATAAATGAATACACGTGTATTAGCAGCGGTACTTCAAACTCCGAAGATAGGTATACCCGCTGCCCCATTCATCACTTCATCCTATACTAATACAAAATACCAGTACCATACCATAAACTAAATATTATACTCAGTATCTCCACAAACAACCTAGACAAACAATCTAGACCCCGCCTTCAAAAGCCTGCAAAATCTGCAAGCCCACCTCGTCTACAAGCATCCCAAGCCAAGCCGCATCTGCATCTACAGGCATACAGATTCCCATCCATCCAATCATATCAAGCGATATGTATGGCTTACGGCTGACTCCCAGTACAGAGTAAGACTTGTGTGTGTACTGAAGGAAATGTACGATAAGACCGAGTTTCAATCCGTGGTCCAATGATTTGTGGTTATGTTTTTTTGGCGATTCTCTTGCGGTTCCCTGCGGCTGCAAACCTTTAATTTTTGATGCGTCTTTCCTTTCCTAGTTCTCCTCTCTCTCTTTCCCATACATATTCTTGTAATCTGTAATCTTTTGTATGCAAGATTTACTGAAAGGTATTACTATCTGCCACCAGTGTGCGGAGACTTGTTCTTTATTCCCCGGAGGAGTGGAGTTGATTCATGGTTGATGTTACACATATTTATATATACTGTTGTATACATATATCAAAGCATGGATCAATCTACCTGAGATTGTTTGCGACATAAAGATAATCCGAAAACTTCACGATGCCGATATCGATGTTTTCGCGGTCACGGTTGCGGCTGCTTATCACTCTAGGGTTATCGTTATGCTTCGCTGATGCGGTACGAGGTCAATATGGAGCTGTTGGGATGGAAAATAATGCAAATGCTTTGAGTCCGAGATACTATATGGGATTGGAGGAGGGGAGGTTATTGGGGAGGGGTAGTGGGGTTTGTGAGAGTGGTTCGCATTCTTGTAACTATTCCCATTTCTCAATATTTGATTTTTCCCATGTTTTTTGTCGCGCCGAAGATCTCAAGTAGATTGCTTTCGAAAGGAAGATCGGCTAATTTCAATGCCGCCTACTCAAAGGTCTCGATATAAACGCAACGGGAATATGTTGTTCAAACTCTCAATACTGCATAATATCCCCCTCCAAAGGTCCCTCATGTTGTGCTATAGGCAGCAATTGCGATACTCCCTGCTCCTCAGATTCCTATCTCTGCAACAAAACCCTCACCATTTCCTCCACCACAACCGTGACATCAACATGCTGTCCCCGAGCATGTCCATCCGTCTCTCTTTATAAATGCGCTACTTCCCTCGGAGGAGGCTGCTGCAACTACAACGCGCAATGCATATCTTCCGACGGCTCCGGTGCGTGCGCCGTCACAATATCAAGTTCATCGACCACGGCCCTCGTCTCCATCATTCCCTCCGGATGCACTACCAACCAATTTGCATGCGCGACTTTCCTGGGCGGTGGATGTTGCGATGTGGGATTCGGCTGCACTGTACTTAGCGGCACTAAGTACTGCGCTGCGACTACTGGTTCCGCATCCGCGGTCCGCACGGGCAGTAATGGCATCATGGCAACCGACACGGCGAATTCTACATCCAGTAACCACAGTCTATCTACAGGCGCCAAAGCCGGCATCGGTGTCGGCGTCTCGATCTTCGCGCTCGCGAGTATAGGTGCCTGTATATTCTTCATCACCATCCATCGACGACGCTCTCTCTCCTCGAAAACCTCTTCACATCCAGATGCAGACGCAGATGCAGATGCCGATCAAGAGAATCTCCCCGCAGCAGCCATGTCCCAAGTATCCGGCTCGAAAGCAGATAGTAAGAGCGGCAAACGACCAACAGGGTTCCAAAGACAAGAATCGGATTATTTTGGCGCAACGGCGGCGCGGGGTCCGTTTACGGAGGAACTTACTAGTGCGGTGACGAGTCCGGGGTTTGATAGTAATAGAGGGGTGCCGGTTACGCCGCAGAGTCCGAATGATATTGCGGCGCCGGTGGAGATTGGTGGGGGAGAGAGGGAGGGGTGGGGGTATGAGAAGAGGGGGGAGTTGGAGTGAGGAGGTAGGATGTTCTGGGGTTGTTTTTTGGGGGTTTTAGGGAGGATGGAGAGTAGGATTTATGTGTGAGGGCGGTGATGTGGTGTGAGGATGTTAGGATAGGACAGGATGTCTGCATATATTTAAGCAAGATCAAATACAAATCTTAAATCACTTCCTATAAGATGAAATATCCCAGTAGGTATTTCATTCATCCATATATTTTATTTCTCGAAACCTCTTTTAACAACTCCACCTTTGATCAACTATTACCTCTATTTCACACTCCATCCTACACTCCAAGTAGAGAGCTGCTAACATCACTTTGGTATTTAGCCACAAACTTGTCGTCCTTTAATAAGGTTCTTCAAAAGGTTATTACAGCTAAAAGAAAACTAGCAAGATACTCGAGTGAGTTTCGTGGCGAGACTGAGAGTAATATGAAAGGAAGTTAGTACCGAGGATGATTTGCGGATAGGAATAGGAATAGCGTGATTGATTTAACTATGATGTCGTGGTGTTGTGGCGTTGTCGTGTTGTTGAAGATATAGAGATTTGGAGATATGGGGCAAGATGTGTAATCGTATACTCGTATACTCGTTGAAACTTATTACGCTTGAGATTATGAGATGGAGATGGAGATGGATATGGATATGGATACCGGTATGGGTATATTAATGGTATATGGTAGATATAGATACAGATACAGGTAAAGCTAGTTGTAAGTTGTCAATGAATTTTGGGCTGGGATGGGATGGGATGTGATGGGATGAATATAGCATGCGGTAAATTGGAAATGAGATGTTATATTTAAGGTTGATGAGTTATGGTGAGCAGGCAGGACAGTTGGGGATCCGTGCTCTTGTTGTTGGGGTTTGTTGTGTGGTTTTAATAGTGTTGTACTCGAGTATGGCGATTTGTGATTTATAGAAGGTGCTGTTACTTGAGTGAGGTATATATATCGAGGGTTGTTGACATTCAAACCTATCGGTACAGAAAACCCTACTTATAGTAATACACTTACTAACTACTTCAGCATATTTTCCTCCTCGTCTACAACTGACCCTTACTCATATTACTCGAGTACATTCCCCATCCATGGCCACCAGCAAAACATCCTCAATTTCTCTCTTATCTTGCTAGTTCATCGTATTTGGCGACTCCTATTAACATATGGTTAGATTCGAGACGCTTCGAAAAGGGGAAAGGAAATTAGACGAAGAAACAGGTCACGGATCAGTACCTAGATGAGTACCTAGATGAGTAGAAGAAGGCCTGGAGTATATATGGTGTGACGGAACAGACGGCTCTCTTCCGCCCACTGGCTCATACTACATACATAGTATGATATGACGGCCCTTTTGGACCTTCCTTTCACAGCTTAGAGCCCTAGCTCTATAGCTCTAGACCTAGGCATCTTACGCCTAGGACCCTTTCACCCTTTTGGGCCTAGCCCTTATGGCTTCCAATACCTGTATATATAGTCCTCCTTTTAGCATCCTACATAGCTCTTCACTTGTAGATTCTAAGTACACAATCGGAGTCCTGTTTATACCCTTTTGGTCACATTATCTACAAGTCAATATTTATAGCTATGATTAGGGATAATCGTTAAATCTATCCAAATCTCCCTCTCAAAACTAATGCCGACTACATCAACACTATCTAGAAGTGAAGAATTTGCATCAGTCGATAACCTCAGATTTCTGTCAATAAATTGATGATGCGATGGTTCCTCCAAAAAAGAAAGGTCAAAGTGGCATTCCTGGTTCTAGCAATAGCAAAAATCAGCGTAACTCACCTGGTTACAAGTATAATGCCACCAGTACTTTTTTTGACTTTCTAAGAGCTCCTGGTGCCCTTCGTTATTCCCCTCCTCCCCCTCCTAGATCACTACTTGGTAACAATCTCTATACTTCTCCTTCAATAAAAGAGGTACAGAAAACTATTACAATGAACCCCAGGAAACAACCAGAGCCTTACCCCTCTTTACCTACTTCCCCTACTTCAGAATCCTCCGCACTTGCAGAGAGCCGAGCTGTTGCAGGTCTTCTAGTAGTAATCGTGTGCCGTGCAAAGCTGGCACAACAATGCCCACGATACTAACGGTAATACTGAGAGGATCAGCCATTTGTGATTGTTCATGATAGAAAGTTGGTGTAAAATAAGAATTCGAACCGTAAGTTGAGGCCTGTAAATGTCGGTCAATCTGATTGGAGCGTTATCGAAAGTTGCTGCGACTGAAGGATGACGAATCATATCAACAAACTCAATTGCTGTAAATACTTCATCACAAAGCAAAAGTATTTTTACTGCAATGGCATCCGCAATATCTTCTGTTCAAGCCGCAGTAATCAACGGTGCGGTCAATACGAACTTTCATCATTATGCTCCTGGTAAATCGCGAAAGATCCAAGTTGACCAGCGCTAAGAACAGCCCCACTCTAGAACGGCTAGAAACTCCACCGAACCCGTCGGTCGTCATACCCTTCAGTTGCGGCAGTGATTTTGTCGAGCGAGGGGCAATACTCGACCAAATCTACGAGAAATTCACTGCCTCAGGTTCTCGAACTGCGCTTGTTGGTCTAAGCGGCGTCGGTGTGCACATTCTCTTTTCTCTTTAGCACACAGATAACTAACTGCTGCAAGCAAATCTCAACTTGCTATTGAATACGCGTACCAAACCCGAGATTGTTCGCAGGAAACGTGGATTTTCTGGGTCCATGTCCAATCTTAAGTTGATAGAAAGCGCTTGCCACAGTTCTCTTCTTATATGTTATAGCGACCTACGTTTATCTAAAAATGAAAAAAGTGAGGTGGTAAGGCTAGGTTTCGTCAATTTTTATCTCTTGGGTCGAACTCGGCACCTTTCTCTAGTAACAGCTTGACCACAGTCTCATATCCCCGTTGAGCAGCCCATAATAGCGGTGTTCGATGATTTATATCCTTTGAATCGATCTCGGCATCTTTCTCTAGCAGTAGCTTGACCACAGTCTCATATCCCCGTTCAGCAGCCCACCACAACGGCGTCCGATCATCTGTATCCTTTGAATCGATATAAGCACCTTTCTCTATTAACAGTTTGACCACGGTCTCGTGCCCCCATTCAGCAGCCCATGATAGTGGCGTCTGATCATTTGTATCTTTTGAATCGATCTCAGCACCTTTCTCTAGCAACAGCTCGACCATAGTTTCGTGTCCCCATTCAGCAGCCCATGATAACGGCGTCCGATCATTTGTATCCTTTGAATCGATATCAGCACCTTTCTCTAGTAACAGCTTGACCACAGCCTCACGTCCCTGTTGAGCAGCCCATGATAGCGGCGTTCGATAATTTGTATCCTTTGAATCGATCTCGGCACCTTTCTCTAGTAACAGCTTGACCACAGCCTCATGTCCCTGTTGAGCAGCCCATGATAGCGGCGTTCGATAATCTGTATCCTTTGAATCGATCTCGGCACC